TCATCTTCCTATATTTGCATTGTTCAATGACAATTATGAACAAATATGTGAATATCCAAAAAAAATATATAAAAGGGTACTAACAGAGAAGTCTATTAATGCTCTTAACTATGATCTAGCTAACCAGGATTGGACCAATGTGCTGGTGGAGAATGATGCGAACAGAGCCTACAATTCATACCTGGAAATATTTTGTTCCTTATATAACAAACACTGCCCTACGCGTCAATATAAAAAAGAGAAAAGAATACTAAAGTGTCCATGGCTAACACAAGGACTACTTAATGCATGTAAAAAGAAAAACTACTTGTATAAACAATATATGAACCAAAGAACACAACAATCTGAGGAACGGTATAAAGTATACAAGAACAAACTAACAACCATTGTACGAAATGGCAAGAAATTATACTACGAAAATAAACTAAATGAAAACAAAAGCAATATTAAAGGAATCTGGAGTATACTGAATAAATTGTTAAAAGACAATTACACTATCAACTCATATCCTGACTATTTTATAGATAATAACACTGAAAACTTTGATCTGAAGAATATTGTCAATAAATTCAATGATTTCTTTATAAATGTTGGACCTGAATTAGCGGCTCAAATCCCACCAAATATTAATAACAAAAGGGCGGATTCAACTATTGTAAGGAACTCGCAAACCATCTTCCTCGCTGACGTGAGTGAGGCTGAAATTAAGTCTATTGTGAATAAATGTAAAAATAAATCTTCTATGGACTGCTTGGACATAAATATGAGATTAATAAAAAGAATAATTGACAATATTCTGAAACCTTTAACTCACATATGTAATGTATCACTTAAAACTGGTACTTTTCCGGACAAAATGAAAATAGCCAAAGTGTTACCTCTATTCAAAAATGGGAGTAAACACATATTCACAAATTACAGACTGGTCTCTCTTCTTCCGCAGTTTTCAAAAATATTGGAGAAAACGTTTTACAGCAGGTTGGAAAAATTTATCTCGAAGCATGAGCTAATTGATGAAGGGCAATACGGATTTAGACCCAAAAGATCAACCACTATGGCTATTATTGACGCTGTGGAAGAAATCACCAGTGCTTTAGACAACAAAAAACATACTGTTGGAATCTTTATAGATCTAAAGAAAGCATTCGATACTATCAATCACTCCATCCTTGCTCAAAAATTAGAAAAGTATGGTATTCGGAGAGTTGCTGGGAACTGGATTAAAAGCTATTTAGAGGAAAGACAACAATTTGTTAAGATCGGGGACTTTGAATCAAAATGTATGAGCATTGTTTGTGGACTGCCTCAAGGGTCTATACTGGCACCTCTACTTTTCAATCTATATATCAATGATATATTTAAAGTATCAGAATTATTAAAAATGGTGTTATTTGCTGATGATACCAACATATTTTATTCTAACGATAACTATAATAGTCTTATAAAGGATGTAAATCAGGAACTCGTTAAACTTAAAACATGGCTGGATTTAAACAAATTATCACTCAACCTAAGCAAAACAAAAATGATCATGTTTGGCAATTACATGGAATGTCCAGAATTATTGATAAGTATAAATGGTACTAAAATAGAAAAAGTAACAGAAATAAAATTTTTGGGAATCATAATAGACAACAAACTGAGCTGGAAATCACACATTGGACACATACAGAGAAAGATATCAAAAAACATTGCGATTATAAACAAAGCTAAGTACTTCCTTAATAATAATGCACTGTATATATTGTATTCCAGTCTAATACTGTCATTCTTAACTTATGGAATCGAGGTCTGGGGTAATAATTATAAAAGTTCACTCCATCCCCTTGTAATACTCCAAAAACGAGCAATCAGAACTATTCATAAAGCTGGTTACCTCGAACACACAAACGTATTGTTTTTACAAAGTAACATGTTTAAACTCATGGATTTAATAGATTTTTATACTGTGCAGTTAGTATATAAAGCTAACCAGGCTCAATTACCAGCAAATATTCAAAAACTATTCATAAAAAGAGATGACTGTTACAATTTAAGGGGATGTGGTCAACTTAACGTACCTGCCATTCGTTCCACGAGGAAAAGTATGTGTGTGTCTGTGTGTGGTGTCAAGCTCTGGAATAAACTGGGAGCCCAACTCAAGCAGTGCTCATCCATTTATCAATTCAAATCAAAGTATAAACAACTCATATTGTCCAAGTACAGGACGGAGGAATATCACTGAGTGTGGAAATAGAAATAACTGCAGAGTAATCTATTTATGATGTATTACTGTAACTGACAAACTAAAAATGAAGTATTACTGTTTATCTACTTGGTCATACTGAGCTCATGTAGCTATGCAGAAGTGAAAAAAAAATAAAAATAATAATAATGATAATATATATGTATCCGCTTATGTATATAGTGTAAATAGGGTGATGCATAACCTGTATATTGTTTTTGTTGTTGTTTGTTTTCTCTTCTTCACATATCTCTTATGTACTAGCTATGTGATTCTGAAGTTAAAGCTCTATATGAACGTATTTTGCTATAATGTACAAATGCAGTTCGCTGTTAAATCTACTTAGATCATTTACTATCACCATTACTTTTACAGAGGGCTAAAACTAAATTAACAGCAACAAGGACAAGACTTAAAAACACCATTGTGGCTGCTTGTTGTCACCATCACTGCTCCTCAACTATACAAAGGATAATGGCAGGTGAGACATGGACCTGTTGGAGAGAAGGGCCCCCCCTCCTCCCAGTGGGTTCATGGATCTCGTCATGTGGCGCATTTTACTGCACAGATTACCAACATCACTGTAAAGTCAATTACTCAGGGCAGCAGGGTTGGGCCGGTTGATTGGGGGCCATTCCCCCCTCAGCGGGCCCACACTCTACTTTTTAATGCACCTCACAGAATAGGGCTCACACTATCTCATAGTCCGCTGTAGATGGTGACAACGAAGTGAACGATTATTATTACTAAAATGGTATAAAGGAATAAATAATAATAATATAATAGTTAAAAATCTAAAATAGATTTACATCATTAATAAATCATATAATTATGGTTGTTAATATAATCCATCATTATTGTGACCATTAATAGCATTAAACCCATAACAAGTAACAAATGATCAAGTTAAAAGATTGGTGACTAGTTGTGTTGACAGTGATGGGTATTTGTAATTATTGAAGAAAAGGTTCAAGTTTTCTTTCATTGCCTTGGGATTAGTTGAATATTGTGATGTTTATATTGCTGTTTGTATAGTCACTGGAACATGACAAAATAACTGTCATATCTTTTTGATCATGCAGTAAATGAATGTATTGAATGTATCAAATTCTTCAGTACACAAGGGGTAGGTGCAAACAAGCTTAAGCTTCTGCCTACTCCTTTTGAGCATCATATCCACGCTATTTATTTATTTAATTATTTACGTATTTACTTACGCCTACCTATTTTTGGCTTTGATTACTGTGCTGAACTTTGTATATAAGTAGAACTGTGTGGAACTCAGATGCTCAAATAAAAAAGATGAATGAATGAATGAATGAATTCTACGGCTTAAAATTTGAATCTATAAATATGTATGAAAATAAACATTTTTGCCATGTTTTCATCTGAGGTTAACCAAATAAAAAAACAACATTTATGACTATTCTACTTCAGACTGAGGAAGACTTCAAACAACACAAACTGATTGAAAGCACACCACAGTTGTTTCCTGGCTTTGCGTTAAGATAAACACCATCCATTATCCAGAGCTGCTCTTTCTCACAGAGACAGACACTGTTCATGGTCAGAATCTGTCGCTGCACTGAGCCATGTCCATTTATCCCCTTACCTCCCTTTTCCACGCCAAGGCAAAGTCATCAGCTATTTTCTCTTTATATTCCCAATTTATACTTTTGGGCTGAATCAAATGATGAAACTTTCTCATAGTACTAGCATTATGCTTGTCATTATATTTTGTTTAAAAATACAACACACACACACACTCACGCACACACATTCAGTGTAGGCTTAAGACAATATTTCGATTCAACATTACGAGTAGTTTCATTTCAATTACTATTTCTGTTGATGCGCTACAATATAAACACATATGGTTTGCTACCTCCACACCCACAGCACCACAGTACTGTACATCTGCATTGTCTCTCCCACTCACACTTGATTTCACTGGTGGAAAGCTGGACATCCCACATCAGTGAGTGGGTGGCACTGGTGTACACTGCTGTTGCTTAAAACCAGTGACTGACTTTGCACTAGATTCTTACCACAATACCCCTCGGCACTGATTATCTGCTGTGAGAGGTGTAGGTGCACTGCAGTCACCTGCAGTTAGAATTATAACATCATTTTTTTAATGACGCCTCCTTAACAACATTTAATAGGTAGAGAACGTTCATATTTATTTGTATAGATTTTGTATTACCTTGATATAATTATCTGCCAGAGGAACTTTCTGCAGTTGGTGCGTCATTTACATGCCACCAGGAAATAAAAATTGGAAGCATATGTCAAACAATCTCAATAGAGCTATACCTTAATATCATACTATGGAGGATAGTATGGGGATTTAAAGATAAGGCAGGAGGCCCTCCTCCATGACAATTATGAGTCAGGTATATGGAAATGCAAGCTACAGACCGGCTTTAAAACAAATATTTATTATTGCCTGTTTTTGTAGTTTATAGGCATACCAGACAATACCAAAGTGAAAACTTTTCAGTTGTGTCATACAGTTCAAGTATGTCAACTGGTGCTTGTAGAATAAAATTAAACAACTCTTTTTAAGGAATGAGAATGAATTGGCTTACGACTGACCATGAATGGTATAATAAGTATAGTTGCATGTTTTTTTCTTATGCCTAAGATCAAATGTGCTATTCAATGTTGAAAAGTGATTAGGTGAGCACAGAGACCAAACTATATATGTAATTGATGCATAACCTAATAGAGCTGTCTAATAGTGACAAAGGCCTATATCGTGCTGTTCTCCTACCTGTTCGTTGCTCGCCAGCTCCTTCTCCAGCTGGCGATGCTTGTTGTGCCACACCAAATAGTGGACCGGAAAACGACACTTCTCTGGAGTTTTCTTGGCTGAAATCATCCTCGGATCATACTTCGCCTCCTCCTGTCCTTCGTCGTGAATTTTGGGGAGTAGTTTTCAGTTCACGCTAAAAGAAAATCAGCAGCACCGTTCTCCTGAGGCGACATATCCAGAGGCGTACGCGAAAAGCCAGGCGCGCACTCTCTCTGCTGATACAGTAACAACCAAAAATGAAATCCCACTATGAAACATGGGCGGAGGGTGAAGGTTGCCCGTGTTTGTAAGCCGTGGTATTTGTGACCAGTGCCGCGTCTTCAACTGGTCGTTCTGACTCCAGCATCTCTCCTCCTCTCTCGCATCCGGTGCTGAACAAACGAGCAGCAAAGAAATGTGCGCGCACTCTCAGCTTATCATTGGTCGCTGCAACAATAAGCAACATTTAAGCACTTAGGGTATGTGCGATTGGCCTCTGGGGGTATTGGCTGTAAGAAAGACAATATGTTGTTTTCCAATAATGATAAATGCTCTGCTTATTTTGTGACAGAAATCAATTGCATTGCAGATTGGCGAGTCTTGTTGGGTTGGTCGTGGTCGTTATACAATTGGTAAGTTATAAAGTTGTAGTTTCTGCATAGTTTTCTGCATAGTAAAATGTGAAAGGCCCACAGTACGGTATCACAGACATAGGCCTATTAGAAAAAAAAGAAATTTGCTCATTATCATAACTTCAGAAAAAAATAACAATAATAATAATAATACTTACAATTATAAAAATAACTTGATATTATTGTTTAATATTTGTCACATGGAATGACAAACGAGTATGTCTGTATACACTCCCATGCCACTTGAATAAAAAAGGAACATAATGTTGATGATGTTCTATGGACATAATATGGCACTCTTTTTCACTTTGCATTTATGTGACACAGCTTGCCAACCTGAGCTTGCCAACCTGCCAGCCACAGGGTTGCAACCACATTATGTATGTGTTATAATTGCCTGGCTGGAGAAGTGAGCTCACCTCCGCTGCTGTCAGCTCTCCCGAGGCCCCAGGGGTGAGTAGCCCCTGACTGCAGTCCGCAGATCGGGGCGGAGCTCAACGTGGGCGGAGTCAAACGTTTGACTCCGCCCACGTTGAGCTCCGCCGAGCGGGAGCTAGGCATTGAGGACTGTGCGTATGACAGAGAAGGAGAAGAAGCAGAGGAGAAGAAGAGCGAAGTAGCTGGCAGAATGGAGGTACTGTAGGCCAGTTTTTTCATTCTGTTTTAACGTGCAACTTTGCTATATTTGTTACCGACAAGGAAGGTGGTAACATTATTTTTATTTTAAAATAAGTTATACTTGTATGTATCTGCATTCTGCACGGTTGGACTTCTAATCTAGTATACCTAGCATTACTGTTGCAGCGAAAATTATATAAACCTGGACTTAAAAACGACTTTTCTGGGTTTTAGATTCATATTTATCCGGCACGACGTACTGGGAAAATATTATACCTTTGGGGAGAAAATTTTATGTGATCGTTATTACTTTTGGGGGGGAAATATTATACTTTTCGCGGGGAAAATACGTTACTTTTTTAATCGTTGTTACATGTTGAATATAGAATAATGTAAGAATATAAAGCCAATATGCTAATATGTGATTTAAGCATATTTGAAATGGTACCATTCATAAGCATTTGACAATCTGACACTTACATCTGAGTAATCTGCAGGAAATTGATATTGCTCTTCCTTGCATGTTAACATCCATGACATGACATTTGTTTTTTAAATGAAAAATTATTTCATATATTTTGTCTCGTGTGTTTCTAATTGCTGTGCCTTTTATGTCTATTGTTTTCCCCTCTAATATAGAGACACATCAGCATACTGATCAATGGTGAAATATCGCTTTCAAAATGCACTGATGAGGGTTTGTTCAAAGTGTTTATGCATTTGAATCAAAAGTTGATTTTAGTTCAGTTACTTTTAGTTACTTCTGCTTACTCTTTGCACAGACACATTGCTCACAGCCATATACCCCTGACTGCAGTCCGCAGATCGGGGCGGAGCTCAACGTGGGCGGAGTCAAACGTTTGACTCCGCCCACCGCGGAAGCTTCTTTTTTTTTTCTTTTTTTTTACGGAAGCGTTTTTTTTCTTTTCATTTTACCCTGATTTTAATCTTGATCAAGGGTAAAATCATCAAGTTGATGATTTAAAAAAATAATTAATATTTATCGGTCCCGATATGCTTTTCATTCTTCTACTCCTTTGTATATTATGTATATTTATAAACCATTTTTGGTACCATTATTTATTATTGCACCTGATTCTGACCGATTCTGATGTTACACCTAAGTAAGTAAGTAAGTAAGTAAGTTTTTATTTATATACACCGCCTTTTCACTGCAGATCTGAGTCTCAAAGCGGTTTACAATTGTTCATTTTGGGCATTTGTCTCTCACTCCACACAGAGATGGGAGCGGGGTCGCCAGTACAGGAGGCACATGCCAGACCTATTGGACATATTTTTAGTGGTAGGGGAAACCGGAGTACCCGGAGGAAACCTACGCAGACACGGGGAGAACATGCAAACTCCACTCAGAAAGGCCCTGGTCCGACCGGGATTCGAACCCAGGACCTTCTTGCTGAGAGGCGAGAGTGCTATCCACTCAGCCACCGTGCCGCCCTAAGCTTGTAATAATATAAAAAGCTTTTGTATGGGACACCATTCATTGTTATTTATATCAGGATCACATCTGGTGTCAAAATGTAAATCTTTGGTAAAACCTGTTTCTTTTTGTCTCAAATGTAAATACCAGCTTACATAATATTAAGGTTACACAATATTCTATATGCATTCTTGTCTCATAAAATAAATGATACTAAAATAATAGTAATATGATTACATTTCCATGAGCCCTCACAACTTTACACACAACTTTTTAATGAGGTTCAGCTCCCACTGAACTAGAACAGTGAAGTGAAATCAACATTTAATATCAGGCTTCTACTTTCAACTTGTCAAAAGCCTTATTTTTTTACTGTCCATTATTTTTTATCCATGCTGCCTTCATTTAAAAAAATAAAAATTCTTATATAAATGTATCCACTCAATTATATCAGCTACATTAAGGAGAACAGAGACTGAATTGTGCCACTGACACTTCTTAAAACATGCCGAGGTTTGAGGTGGGGTAGCGAGACAGTGGACCCAAGGATGCAGACTTGATGTTTCAAAAAGGTAAATTTTATAACACAAACAAAAGCCATAACCGGAACACAGGTATAAAAAAAAGTACAAACAAAATCACCAAAAACCACACTAGGAGAACCAAAACAAAGTGAAAATGCAAAGAAATGCAGCATGTGTGAGCAGAAAATTATCTCATTTCAAAGCCGGAAAACACCTGCAGCTGCCTTTTGTCCATCATTTCCTTGCAGAACTCCTCATAGTCTGCCTGCAAACTAAACATGAACATGAACGGTTCACTGAGGTCTTCTTTATACTCTTCATCCAGGCCATCACACATGCGCAGCATTTCCACTGCCCTCAAGGAATCTTCCTTGTTCATGGTGATGACCTGGGGAAGGTAAAGTTTTCCCTTGAAGGATCTTGTGCCACACCACCTTGGCACCGTTAAGGTGTCCATAAGCAGGGAATCCTCCTAATGAAAAATTAAGAAAATGAATATTAAAATAGAGGTTGAAGAAGGCAGCAAACAGTGAAATAAGAAAATCTCACAACGGGTAACATACTCCGTTCCCAGTTCCCACTTCCGGCAAGCTCTCAGCCTTTGCTAGAAAGGAAACAGATTATGGTTCTTAAAGGTATAATAACAATGCAAGTTCTAAAAAAGATCAGTAGCTTATTTTAAGTATACTGGTTTAATGAAAATTGAGAAATTACAGCAAAACCAGCTACGTCACATCCCATCTCTACAACCTTGGGGGTTGTGTACAATAATACTGTTTTGAACAATACCTGATGCTTCAGAGACAGATTCTGAAAGCCGAATACTTTTTGGAGGGACCACTTCCAGATCCTGAAATAAATGGGGGGGATTATGCTTTAGTCTGCAAGCAATAGTTTGACTACAGGACAAATTAATCAACTCTCACCTGTTTTCCTTTTTGCTTTCTCCGTCTTTTTCTTTCCTGCAATCTGGTTTCCTTAGACCTTGATGATGTAATGACAACATTAATTTTACTATGAAAACATTCATGTTGGTCTGTTGACCGTGAGTATTTAAAAGGATCTGATTCAAAAGTGTGATCATGAGGGCACTTACGGCATGGGGAAGTTCTGTAGGAGGACAAGACACCACCATCTCCTAATTTGCAGCATGTTTTCCTTTGAAAAAAGAAAGGAAGATTCAAATATGTGTTCAGGAATGATAAGTTGTATACTAAGCGTAATGTGTCACAATTTTCACATACCTCTCTGAAGTCACAATTGGCCCCCATTACAATGTACAGCGTGTACTGTAAGTCAAGAGGTACTGGTTAATGGACTAATGTCATGCATATTTCCTCAAGATACAATTTTCCAATACATATAATGTGTTTTTAATGTAGCAAGCAAACATTTTACAGATAACAGCAAAGATATAACATACTGAATAGGTCTTACCATCAAAACAAACACGCCACAGTTGTTGGAGCACCCTTGCTTTGTTAGGCCCTGAGGTGTGAACAAGGTCTTTTAATAAAAGAATGGCAAGAAAATAGTAAATGTTAGCAAATACTATGAAGTAACGTCTCACCTGAACATCATTCACGCCAAGCTCCCTCCAGGGGCCAGGAGACAGGCTGTGAGCAATGTGTCTGTGCAAAGAGTAAGCAGAAGTAACTAAAAGTAACTGAACTAAAATCAACTTTTGATTCAAATGCATAAACACTTTGAACAAACCCTCATCAGTGCATTTTGAAAGCGATATTTCACCATTGATCAGTATGCTGATGTGTCTCTATATTAGAGGGGAAAACAATAGACATAAAAGGCACAGCAATTAGAAACACACGAGACAAAATATATGAAATAATTTTTCATTTAAAAAACAAATGTCATGTCATGGATGTTAACATGCAAGGAAGAGCAATATCAATTTCCTGCAGATTACTCAGATGTAAGTGTCAGATTGTCAAATGCTTATGAATGGTACCATTTCAAATATGCTTAAATCACATATTAGCATATTGGCTTTATATTCTTACATTATTCTATATTCAACATGTAACAACGATTAAAAAAGTAACGTATTTTCCCCGCGAAAAGTATAATATTTCCCCCCCAAAAGTAATAACGATCACATAAAATTTTCTCCCCAAAGGTATAATATTTTCCCAGTACGTCGTGCCGGATAAATATGAATCTAAAACCCAGAAAAGTCGTTTTTAAGTCCAGGTTTATATAATTTTCGCTGCAACAGTAATGCTAGGTATACTAGATTAGAAGTCCAACCGTGCAGAATGCAGATACATACAAGTATAACTTATTTTAAAATAAAAATAATGTTACCACCTTCCTTGTCGGTAACAAATATAGCAAAGTTGCACGTTAAAACAGAATGAAAAAACTGGCCTACAGTACCTCCATTCTGCCAGCTACTTCGCTCTTCTTCTCCTCTGCTTCTTCTCCTTCTCTGTCATACGCACAGTCCTCAATGCCTAGCTCCCGCTCGGCGGAGCTCAACGTGGGCGGAGTCAAACGTTTGACTCCGCCCACGTTGAGCTCCGCCCCGATCTGCGGACTGCAGTCAGGGGTATATGCCAGGGGTAGCTGGGCGCCGTGCTGGGAGCATGATGACACAGGTGCAGTGGTGCCGCCTGGTGGTCAGACGGTGCCAGTGCAGCTCAGACTCATGTACAGCTCCACAGCCTCAGCTCAGTCATCACGCTCCAGTAAGTTGGCACCAGGCTTAGGGCTTGACGTGAAGCAGGAGAGTGGAGGCGGACAGCGGGACACTGATCTGTGGGCTGGCGGACTGCCGAGCACTGCAGCCGGCTTCAGAGACTGACGACACCCGGGGGAAGGACCACTGGGACAGGGTGAAGACACCAGTCATCATCGCCGATACTCTCGGCTCTCTCGGACGCTTTCGAGATGTCAAGAAAACTGCAAAGGACTGAAATCTGCGCTGACTGCAGTGCACCAGGTAGGACATTTACAACGGAACAGAGCTTTGCACGGAGACAATACTTGCACACGGGGTTGTGGAGGCACTGGTACCGACCCTCTGACACTGTCACCGGGGCAGAGGAGCAGGAAAGTGGCCGGGATCCCCCAGCGGAGCAGCTTAGGCCCCAAAAAAAATGAGAACAGACGTGAAATCACTAGCTACGGAAATGCGCTTATCTTGAAGTAGTATACACCAATATGATTTCTTGTATAAAGCTCGTTGATTGATTAGACATTTATTTTCAGACGCAGACACAATACAATATCTACAGTACAATACAAGAGTGCCACAGTTACTCTGCCTTCTCTCTCACCAACGCGTTTGTTTTGGTTTTTGGGACGGGCGAGCTCAGATTAGCATAGCCGGCTAGCTCATCGAAGGAGGTGATTTTCCCGTTGCTTTTCCAAATAAACTTATCCCCTTGGACCCTGAACCACACCTCTGTATGCTTTATCTCCGCTGCTAGCCCCCGAGCCTCATGTGTACAGTTTTGGTTAATAGCAGCCTGCACTCTTATTGGCAACTTAGCCGTATCTTTAGCTAATCGAGCTAACTTTGGCTACATAAGTTAACTAATGCTAAATTGTGCTGAAGTCTGAGCAGCTGTTAAGGGTGGATGGTATCCTCGATATGTTTAGTTTACCATAATTCGGGCTAGTTTTAGGAAGAGCCAATTGTTTTTTCTTTGTGTGAAATCCCCTTAAGCTGCTTCATTACTATGTGGCAGAGGTTTATAATTCCTGAAACTCCTGCCCACAGATTTAATAAAACAGCTGCTCTTCACAACGTCTCCCCCTTCAGCTTTTTGGTTCAAGCCATCAGTGTAAATCATGAAGCAGCTGAGCCCAAACTACTGCATTTCATTGCTTCAGTAAATGTGTCCAGTCAAACACAAATGCATTTAGCATAGGTCTACAATCTATTGTTGCAAATTAGTCACGTATCTATGCAAACATTTTACCATAGAATAGGCTTCTAAATACTATACTTTCAATTCAATGTGTTCTTGTAAAGTCCTAAATCACAACAGTAGTTTTCTCTGAGGATTTTACAAAACCGTTGAGTTCGCCAACACAGATCAAAAAAAGCACAAAGAGTTGGCTAATGTCCATATGTCTTGATAAATGTCCATGCTTTGTATGCATTATTTTTTTCTTCTTGCATTATCTTTCACTTAATGTGATTAGTTATTTGTAGAAAAGTTCAACTTTAGAAACAAGTCAAGTATCCCTACCTCAGAAGTAAAAAGTCAAACCGAAACACTTCTAAAAATGTTTAAAACACGATTCTATGTCCCACAGCTGTGTTCCTCCACTGATGTTACCTCCAGAGAATTGTCATCAATCATTGCACCAAAGGCCAGAAAATTGAATGAATTAAAAATACTAAATTCCCTCAAATTGATAGATCCATGTCACTATCCATAATATATCAAGTAGACTGAATAATATATCATTCTGCAAACAAAGATCTTTACCTACAAAGTTAAAGGTTGAATGCCTTTTCTATTGCTTTCACCTCAAAGCCCCACCTCAGGAGACGTGCTCCCACTTGCAATGCTTTCTGTAAAATGCTGACCTAGTCACTGGTGACAAGCCACCTCCTCACTCCCCAGTCCCAATGTCAGTGGCTTAAAACAAGAGAGAGCCTAATGGTGCAGCTACAAAGGACAATTGATAATACGCTGTTAAGCCAAGAGGCAGAACATTTTCATTTTACATCATGGAAATCTGCAGTTTATAGCAGCAATGAATAAGTGTATGTTGTCATGTATTTATTAGGCAAGCATGCAACAGTATTATTAGATAGTGAAAATCTCATAGCCTCAGGTCATATATTGTTAAATGGTGTGCTCTTTCCATTACGTCTATACAATAATGCTCAGTGTTTGTCATGATTCATGTATTGCTTGTAGCAGTTTTACATCCAGAGGTTCTTTTTAAATAGACTTAAGTGCAGCTATAAAAAACAAACCACTATAACATTTGTCTAATGAAGTCAAAACATTGTCCAGCTGTAGTTTCTTTAATTATAGGGGCTTTAAATTGAGCTAAGTTGATTGCTGCATATCGTCTGGGCTTTTGTACCCTATACGTTGAGGATTGCATTGCTGCAGCCTTTTTTAAAAGTCACTGTGTTGGATTTGAGATTGCCTTAAGCCTGGGCTGTTTATCCTACCCTCCGATTGCCTAATACCAGACAATAGTTTTGTCAGTGTGGAGTAGTGTGGCTGCATGTGTGCCTCTCACTGCTCATCAGGGTCCTCCGGGCGTAAACACCTGGTCGGGTGACATATCTGCCCTTAACTGTTGTCTTTGTCATTTTACAGCACACTGTATTGAAATTTGACATCTACAGTTACAGCTCCTAACTGCTCATGCGCCTGCTAATTGTATTGCTTTATTGTGCCAACTGCAAATAATTCCCATTTTCTCAATTTTGCTTAATATTTTAACTGCAATATTCTCTTGAGCATAGACTATTAAACCTTTAGGGGATTTTAAGTTATACTAAACTTGGTGACCATTTATATTCTCACAATTTGTGATTTACCAGAAGTGGCCCAGTGGCTAATCAGATTGTGCAGAATATATTTGCAATCTTTAAAGCAGACAAAAGTAACTATTACAAATGAATGTTTTTGTTCTGTTGTGTATTGGCACAGCAAACAATAGACTTGAGATTGTAATAATCTCCTCTCCATGTATCGTTCAGGGAGGAAAAATAATTAGCAGATTCACTAAAACCACCAAGCCTTCCTTTAATTAGTGGGGACGACGGACGACTACAGAAAAAACACATAGTTGTCTGAAGCAAATCCACGTTTTGTTTATAAATCTCCTGACACACAATTTCTACACTGAAATAAATATTTGGGTCATTGCAAATCATAAGCCTAAGTACTTGCTTACACAGAGCAGCTAAACGAAGGGATGCAAGTGATTTTTGTGACACAAAACAAACCATAAAGTAGATGCTCTGTTGAAACTAATTTAAAATGCTCTAACATGTAATGATGTGCAGATGGGACAAGAGAGCATGCTGCAATATTTCACATGATTTTACAAGCAAAACCATCTCTCAAGACTCATTTTCCCTCTTATGACGAGCTGCTGGCAAATTTCAGATTTTGAGAAGTCGGTCCAAAAAGCAGCGCTACAATTACACCCAAATATTTTGAATACATTCAATAAAACATATTAAGATCTAAGTTGTTGAAAAAAATTCAGCTATACTTTTAACATGAAAACGACAAATACTTTACAGTCTTTATAATTAGGGTATCTAACATTTGTCATAGGAAATCCATCTTCGACCCAACATAAAAACTAGTCTGTAAAGCCACAAAATGTTGTCTTCATCTTATTATATAACAATTTCTCTTTTGCATAGAAAGAACCTTGTGAATCACTCTTTACTCCTTAACACTTAGGGCTCACAGCTGTTTTTTTATCAAAATAAACAGCTGTGGTTATAAACAGCGAACAGGGGCTGGTGCTATGAGACTTGGGTGGCATCTCTGACTGCCACCCCCCTGACCCAGAAATGGATTAAAGGGTAGAAAATGGATGGATGGATGGAACTTCGAACAGGGGGTCACAAGTCTTATGTTAGGTCTTAAACGATCTATGTGGTGATTTCAAACAATTCCGTCTGCCATCACATTGTAAAGTGCATTTAAAATTCAACATCGTCCTCTCTGCCACTTAATGTCATTTCCGTTTCCTCTCAGACCCAGGCTGGACCAGCATAAACCGCGGAGTGCTAATCTGTGATGAGTGCTGCTCGGTGCACCGCAGTTTGGGTCGTCACATTTCCATCGTGAAGCACCTCCGGCACAGCGGCTGGCCTCCCACGCTGCTGCAGGTGAGCGCTGTCGGGTGCACGGCATTCAAACTAACACAATGAAACAATACATTAGATTAGATTGTATGTACAGTGTCCACTGCTTTGGGTTAAGAGTAGACCGACTCAGCAGATAAAATGCAAATTTATGTATTTCCTTTGGCATTACCTGGAGGCTTTTTGACATTGTTTTCTGTCTGCATTATGTTCTTTGCAACCTTTCTCATCTTTATTTTTTATTCTTTAATTGGTTTGGTTTGGCCAGAACTTAACATCCAGTTTGACTAGCTCTTCATTGGTCCAAAGCACAATACCATAATGATATTGTGGAAAATGCAAACTCAAACTAGAAATCAAGGAGCTAATTTTGAACCATTGCTCATTTACCTTTGCACCAAACAAATCAAGATAATAGATGTTTTAATTTCTGAGGCTTCAATATACAGTGGGGCAAAAAAGTATTTAGTCAGCCACCGATTGTGCAAGTTCTCCCACTTAAAATAATAACAGGTCTGTAATTTTCATCATAGATACACTTCAACTGTGAGAGACAGAATGTGAAAAAAAACCAGGAATTCACATTGTAGGATTTTTAAAGAATTTATTTGTAAATTATGGTGGAAAATAAGTATTTAGTCAATAACAAAAATTCAACTCAATACTTTGTAATATAACCTTTTTTGGCAATAACAGTGTTCAAACGATTACTATAGGTCTTTACCAGGTTTGCACACACAGTAGCTGGTATTTTGGCCCATTCCTCCATGCAGATCTTCTCGAGAGCAGTGATGTATTGGAGCTGTCTCCGAGCAACACAAACTTTCAACTCCCTCCACAGATTTCCAATGGGGTTGAGGTCTGGAGACTGGCTAGGCCACTCCAGGACTTTCAAATGCTTCTTACAGAGCCACTCCTTCGTTGCCCGGGCGGTGTGTTTGGGATCATTGTCATGCTGGAAGACCCAGCCACGTTTCATCTTCAAAGCTCTCACTGATGGAAGGAGGTTTTGGCTCAAAATCTCACGATACATGGCCCCATTCATTCCTTCCTTAACACGAATCAGTCGTCCTGTCCCCTTAGCAGAAAAACAGCCCCAAAGCATGACGTTTCCACCCCCATGCTTCACAGTAGGTATGGTGTTCTTGGGATGCAACCATAGACTGTATATATTAACAGACAGAGTCACGCCTATCTCCGCCGTTCTAACTAATGGGCCAAAAAATGTGCTCTACTGGAGCAATCCAAAATGGCCGCGAGTGGTCCCGCCCACAAGAAAATTGTGAAAAAACGCATCTGCGCATGCGTCAGCCAGCGCAGCTCCATTCATTTGAACGAGAGACTTCAAAAATTCACAGCAAGTAAACTAGAGTGGTCCAAAAAAATCCACCCCCCTCAGCATTGACACACATGTGGAACGGAGCTTTGGGCCAAGAGCCAACTTTTGGTCCAAGATTGTTGTTGTAGATTCACTCTTCCCAGTCTGGTGCAGGTCTACAATTCTTTCCCTGGTGTCCTTCGACAGCTTTTTGGTCTTGGCCATAGTGGAGTTTGGAGTCTGACTGTTTGAGGCTGTGGACAGGTGTCTTTTATACAGATAACGAGTTCAAACAGGTGCCATTAATACAGGTAACGAGTGGAGGACAGAAGAGCTTCTTAAAGAAGAAGTTACAGGTCTGTGAGAGCCAGAGATCTTCCTTGTTTGAAGTGACCAAATACTTATTTTCCACCATAATTTACAAATAAATTCTTTAAAAATCCTACAATGTGAATTCCTGGATTTTTTTTCACATTCTGTCTCACAGTTGAAGTGTACCTATGATGAAAATTACAGACCTCTGTCATTATTTTAAGTGGGAGAACTTGCACAATCAGTGGCTGACTAAATACTTTTTTGCCCCACTGTAAGTGTGACAATTTTACATACCGAATCAAATCCAATTGATTATCTTTTTTAGTAGTTGAATAAATGTTCTTGAAAATGGTACATTCTCATAAAGGAAAAACAAAACAAATGTTGGTATTGTTGTATGGTTAATATGTGATCCCCATTTTTCCTGGGGTCCATCTTTTAAAAAATACATAAAGTAGGTTTTACTAAAGCTGTTTATGTTTCCGCCCTTTCATGATGCAGGCTTCATCCATTAACCACATGCATAACTTCTATTTTTGGGTACAATTAGTGACTTGTGAAATAAACCACCACATTTTGATTTCACAGATGGTTCAGACATTGTCCTGCAATGGGGCGAACTCCATCTGGGAGCACAGTCTGCTGGACCCTGCTCAGGTCCAGAGTGGTCGCAGGAAACCCAACCCCCAAGACAAAGTTCAGTGAGTATACACTACTATACTACTGCTGATAGTATTGCACCTCAGAAGAAGTTATTGGCTATTTTGTGGAAGCAGTTTTGTTATAGTGTGTGTGTTCCACTGCAAAACTCATTTTGCTTTTATTGCCTTATGGACTCTTAAAACTCTTTGTTCTTCATAATGGCCTTCTTAAGCCTAGCGTACATCGACAGAGAAACTGGGGACAACTAGTTGCAAGGCGGCTTTTGGCAACTGAGAGGAGATGGTGGGAGATGATCAGTTGCCGAAATCGGTCGATGTGCGCGCTCTTACAACTGGAGATGATCAGTCGGTCTCCAGTTCCAGTCAGTTGCCCGTGTTCTACTTTTCGGACACTAGTTTGTCACATCATCAGTTGCCCCGATGTGCGCGCTCCATGCGCCGCTCCAACAACGTGTGTGTATTGCGTGTATTGCGAGCCCGCAACAGTTTGTTGTCAGAAAACACACTGTAGTTGAGGCCAGTTGCTGTCGATGTACGCGCTGTTATTCAAGAGACTGGCCTGCGACTCAGAGTTGCCCGTTTTCGCCAGATTGTCGATGTGTGCGGGGCAGCAACTCAGAGGCGACGGATATAATCAGTTGCCAGTCCGATGTACGCTAGGCTTTAGACACGCTTTGCTTATATTCACTATACTTGTCTTTTCACAGCCCCACTAAATCAGAGTTTATCCGAGCCAAATACCAGATGTTGGCCTTTGTGCACAAGCTACCCTGCCGTGACGACGACGGTGTCACCACAAAAGACCTCAGTAAAGTGAGCAGCACATTGTTTTGAAATCAACTGTTAGGATTGTCTTGTCTTTCATAAGTTAGATATGCTGTGTCAAGTGAATGAGATATATTGACTCATTAAATAGTCTTATAAAGCTTTGGTTTATGATACTGCACACAAACACTCGGTGGGATTGTTCTCGTTCTCTTACTTTCTCAGTGCAATCCTCTTGGTAGGGAGTGTTTTGAATGCTGCAGCTCAATGTAATAATAATCTGTGTAAAATGGAGCTCCGCTGTGGCTAATAAGAGGATTCGGATCTTCAGGGTATCAAGCTTTAATCTCCCTCACCCATGTTATTCTTTCTCATTTGTGTCTTTTTTTAGCAACTTCACTCCAGCGTGCGAACGGGCAGTTTGGAAACGTGTCTTCGGCTGCTTTCCCTTGGTGCCCAGGCCAACTTCTTTCACCCAGTCAGTGTAAAAGAATAATACATACAAAAATGCTTACAAAAAAGGCAGTGTGATGATTGTATGTATTTGTGACCATTTGACCTGGCAGGAAAAGGGCACAACTCCCCTTCATGTTGCAGCTAAAGCGGGCCAAATCCTCCAAGCAGAGCTGCTCGTGGTGTACGGAGCTGACCCTGGGGCGCCAGATATCAACGGCCGCACGCCTATGGACTACGCCAGGTACATGTTAATCTGGAATGTGACATTTGGTGACAATGAGAAGTCAAATGTTAATTGAACATGATTAATGAAAACGATCCAATGGTGGTATGCAGCTATGGTGAAATAGTATTAAAATTAGGGTTGTCAAACGATTAAATTTTTTTAGTTGATTAATTGCACAGAAATGGTGAGTTAACTCACGATTAATCGCATTTTTAACATTCTATTACAAATCCTCTCCAATTGAAGTTAAATGAGATTATCAAATGTAATGGCACATTGTCATTCACACCAAATGTACTTAAATCTGTTAGATTTGCTCACAAGATTTTACTTTTGGGCACAACCAAAATGAGCTGTTAATGAAAGGGGAAAATTTACATACCCCAGCTTTAATTCCGCGAGTTTAGTTTAGTTTCAGGAGGAGACACGGACACTTTCGCGGTGTATTTGCGTGGATAGGTTACGCACAGGTTGCAAAGACACAAACGCAACATGCAGACAATAGTTCTGGCGTGTTTGGTCTTATATGACGATGTTACCGCGGCGCCATTCGCTCACAGCCGTGTTGTTGTTAGCGGCTCACAGCCAGAGCGGCCGCGGAGAAGGCGGACTTCAGTTCACAGCAAACAACAGCGGGGCGGTCATGCGCGTATTTTTTTAAAACATGAATTCCCAGAGGGCCAACCTGCTCTGATGCCATCACACACGCAGCATTCTGAGTGATATTATGGATAAATGGGCGGGTCATTCGGACATGCGTTAATGAAAAATGTAATTAACGTGAGTTAACGCGATAATTTTGACAGCCCTAATACATATATGTACCATATGTGGGATATACAGTGTAGAGCCCTGCACTTGAGCCCTTGGCCCGAGGGCCCCGACGGCCCGACAGCCCGAGGGCCGGGCTTCGGGCCGATGACCGCATAATGACCTCGGACACGGGCCGGGCTCGGGCTCTTCATTTTCAGAGCGGCAGAATAGATTTACGAGCGCACCCACTGAATATAGCGTTCTATCACGCTGTAGTGTTTGTTGTTCTGTGTAGTGTTGTCATTGACGGCACATAGCATTACTTATGTAATGTGCAGATGTGTTGCAGCATCGGGGGCATCATACAGATGCGGCCGTTCACTCTGCACCACTCCGCACACACAGAACTCATTGCAACACATCACTACCATGTATAACTCCGCCCTCTAGCTAAGTCTGCGTTCATATCAGTGCGCGGCACTATATACTACGCTAAAACCTTGTTATGGGAGGTTACAAAAAAAAAAAAAGGCGGGCTTGATGCGGGTTTCGGGCCTGAAAATTCAAAAACCATATCGGGCCGGGCCGGGCTGGGGCGCCACCCCCTCGGGCCAGGGCCGGGCTCGGGCCCAGATAATAGGCCCGTGCAGGGCTCTAAAGGGGCGTTCACACCGGACTTAACTTCGGCGTCAAAAGCGTCAGGTTTCCATTGAAAGTGAATGGTGAAGCGCGTCAGGTGAAGCCGAGAGCCCCGGCGTCACTTGACGCGCGTCAAAAGCTTCAAGAGTCGCGCGTAATACGCGCTCACTTGAAGCTTTTGACGCGCGAAACGCTCGCGTATCACAACAATCCCTCTGACGCCGAAGCTGAGCAAAGCTGAGCTTTTGAAGCTTTGACGCGGGCTTCAACCAATCAGGAGACGAGGAGCAGCAGCAGCAGAGGGTCTGTCTCTGTCATGAAGAGAAGTCATGCTGCTGCTGTTTTATTGTCATTATTGTTATTAGTAATATTATTTGTATGAGTAGTAACGTTCTGAGTAACAAAATCATTGTACACATGCTGTGTAGTAAACGTAGTTTATTTAAAATAAGAACAGGCTGACGATGAGTCTGGCTCAGAGCAAGGCAGCTCCGGGCGGGCGAGAGCCGGGGAGAGGCAGGGAGAGGCGGGGAGAGGCGAGCGAGAACCGAGGAGAGGCAGGGAGAGGCAGGGAGAGGTGAGCGAGAACCGAGGAGAGGCAGGGAGAGGCAGGGAGAGGCAGGGAGAGGCGAGAGCCGGGGTTTGAGAACTCAGACTGGGCAAGTGACATGCGGAAGTACCGCTGAAAGCGAAACTCCTCCGTACGCAGCTCCTGGAGTAAATGACGGAACTCTGCAAACACTGCAGCCTCTCAAGTCTGTGGTGAACCCAGAACATGTTTTGTTGAAGCCCTACAACAACGTTATTTTGCTTTATATAACAAATAAAGGCTCGCTGCTCATTGAAAAATCCACCGCTGTCCTGACTACAGGCAACAGAGAAGCTCCTCCCACCGGCGTCAGGCGCGTCACTCGCGTCAAAAGCTTCAAGCACCAAAATGACAAAACTATCCCGGCGTCAGTTGAAGCGCGTCAAAAGCTTTTTGAAGCTTTTGGTCTGAACGCGCCTTTATACAGTGTCTTGCGAAAGTATTCGGCCCCCTTGAACCTTTCAACATTTCGCCACATTTCAGGCTTCAAACATAAAGATATAAAAATTAAATTTTTTGTCAAGAATCAGCAACAAGTGGGACACAATCGTGAAGTGGAACGAAATGTATTGGATAATTTAAACTTTTTTAACAAATAAACTGTAAAGTGGGGCGTGCAATATTATTCGGCCCCCTTGCGCTAATACTTTGTAGCGCCACCTTTTGCTGCAATTATAGCTACAAGTCGCTTGGGGTATGTCCCTTTCAGTTTTGCACATCGAGAGACTGGAATTCTTGCCCATTCTTCCTTGCAAAACAGCTCGAGCTCAGTGAGGTTGGATGGAGAGCGTATGTGAACAGCAGTCTTCAGCTCTTTCCACAGATTCTCGATTGGATTCAGGTCTGGACTTTGACTTGGCCATTCTAACACCTGGATACGTCTATTTGTGAACCATTCCATTGTAGATTTGGCTTTATGTTTTGGATCATCGTCCTGTTGGAAGATAAATCTCCGTCCTAGTCTTAGGTCTTTTGCAGACTCCAACAGGTTTTCTTCTAGAATGGTCCTGTATTTGGCTCCATCCATCTTCCCATCAATTTTAGCCATCTTCCCTGTCCCTGCTGAAGAAAAGCAGGCCCAAACCATGATGCTGCCACCACCATGTTTGACAGTGGGGATGGTGTGTTGAGGGTGATGAGTTGTGTTGCTTTTACGCCAAACATATCGTTTTGCATTGTGGCCAAAAAGTTCGATTTTGGTTTCATCTGACCAGAGCACCTTCTTCCACATGTTTGGTGTGTCTCCCAGGTGGCTTGTGGCAAACTTTAAACGAGACTTTTTATGGATATCTTAGAGAAATGGCTTTCTTCTTGCCACTCTTCCATAAAGGCCAGATTTGTGCAGTGCACGACTGATTGTTGTCCTATGGACAGACTCTCCCACCTCAGCTGTAGTTATCTGCAGTTCATCCAGAGTGACCATGGGCCTCTTGGCTGCATCTCTGATCAGTCTTCTCCTTGTTTGAGATGAAAGTTTGGAGGGACGGCCGGGTCTTGGTAGATTTGCAGTGGTCTGATACTCCTTCCATTTCAATATAATTGCTTGCACAGTGCTCCTTGAGATGTTTAAAGCTTGGGAAATCTTTTTGTATCCAAATCCGGCTTTAAACTTCTCCACAACAGTATCTCGGACCTGCCTGGTGTGTTCTTTTGTCTTCATGGTTCTCTCTGCACTTTAAACAGAACCCTGAGACTATCAAAGAGCAGGTGCATTTATACGGAGACTTGATTACACACGGGTGCATTCTATTTATCATCATCAGTCATTTAGGACAACATTGGATCATTCAAAGATCCTCACTGAACTTCTAGAGTGAGTTTGCTGCACTGAAAGTAAAGGGGCCGAATAATATTGCACGCCCCACTTTTCAGTTTTTTATTTGTTAAAAAAGTTTAAATTATCCAATGAATTTTGTTCCACTTCACGATTGTGTCCCACTTGTTGATTCATGACAAAAAAATAAAATTTTATATCTTTATGTTTGAAGCCTGAAATGTGGCGAAATGTTGAAAGGTTCAAGGGGGCCGAATACCTTCGCAAGGCACTGTATGTTGGTTTTAAGAGTGAGTCATAATATGATTGAGCTCACATTCTCTGTGAAGATAAAGAAGATAAAGAGTTGTAAAATGTGAAAAAAAATCAGACCAATTGAAGCTTTCTTTTTAGCTTATTATAAAACACTTACAAATTTGTAAGAGATTACCATGTGAGTCACCAGTTTGACGCTTTGGCCTGAGTCCTGATTGGCTAAGTGACGGTGGTCCTCTATTTTTCACTTTTCTGCCTGAAAAAGTTTCAAAAAATACATGCTATTGTTTTGAGAGATGTGGATTAGGTTACCTTTATTACATTACATCACTCACTTATTTTTTAAGTTTTAGTTGGGTACCCTAGCTTTAAATATGCCAAAAGAAAATGTAATTCAGTCTTTAGAAAATACATTATATTATGTCATATTTTGTAATTTTTGATGATGTAATGACATTATCAAACATAACATACTAACATAAAGGTGTTTGATCGTAGGCAGGCGGGGAACATAGACCTAGCAGAGCGCCTGGTGGAGTGTCAGTATGAACTGACGGACAGGTTAGCCTTTTACCTGTGCGGCCGGCGTCCAGGTGAGTCTCCTGCACTGACTTTTATTTTACTTGTCACTGATGTTTTCTCTGACAAACCCTCGTCTTTCTGTTGTAGATCACAAAAACGGGCATTATATCATTCCCCAAATGGCAGACAGGTAAAGAATAGCTTGTCTATTTGCATGTCTGGATAATTTTGTTTTTGCCTCATGTTGATACAGTGCGTTTTTTTTTTTCATTTGTCCATCTCTGTCACCAAAATATATCCCCCAAAACACACACATCTCAATACTTTAAACGGGTAATATTGCAAAATATTTTAGGCATGATCTAAATATCTTTCTTTCTAATTTATTCACTTTTATTTTTATAATTATACTTATTTCAGTAATCTTACCCCGAGCCTTTTTGTACAATTGAAAAGAAAGATCAGCACTTTGTTGATGTATTGTGACGTACAGTAAAATTGCTGAATATTGTTTTGATAATCTAAAATATACAGTGTAAACATTTTACATAGTCTTCATAGATCAAAAATCACATAGATCACAAATATAAACCGGCAAAGATAATATTGCAGTATCTCTAAACACACAAAACATCCAATTCTGAAAGTATTTTTGAGCAAGAAACAGAGTCTGCATCATGTTTTCAATACGTGAGCTCAACTCATCAGTCATAAAGTTTTTAGGCGTCTTTGAATGCAAACTAAAAGTAAAAGTTTGGAAACGGCAGACTTGAATAAATCAAATTCCGCATTACCGGCCTCAGCACTTTTGACATTTTGATGGCTGCACCAATGCGGCAGACAGAAGCTTGAAAAAGACGCTGCATTTAAATGACAATATCTCAGAGTTTGTTTGCACATCTGGGCCTGTCACCTAACTCCACTCGCATGTCTTTTAACTCTTGGATATTATACTGCTTGAGAATAACAATTAAGGTGGATTTGTTGTGGCTTCCCTATCCCTGTTCCTATCCTATATTTTTCTCACTGAGTTTCTGTTCTCTCCATTTTGCTGCGCTTGGTGGACCAGAGCTCGCCCTAAGTGTCCAACACAGAGGTATCTTCACTTTCCCTCTTTGTTTTTTTTTTTTTTTTAAATCTAACAACACCTACTTTTTATTATTGCTGTATTGATTTGTTTTCCCTGTTTTTTTTGTTTTTTTTGCGATAAACATTCTACCCAACCTCAGGCCATTCCACGCCTTAGATGGAACATTGATTTTTGTGACAAACAAGTATTATGTATTAATTTAGTTTTGGGTTTTTTGCTAAGAAAGTTTTCTTTGCTAAAGGGATGAATTGTGCATCTTATTTCTTTAATGTATTTTTCGTTTTCAAATAAACAAACGCATCCATAATTGAGTTTATTCTATACATTTTCTGGACTACAAATGAAAGGCAATAACAGTTTTGCTTCCACTGGGGAAAAAAAACACATGATCAAAAAACAGAATAATGATTGACTGTGTCCGTGATCAAATAAAAATAGCATGTTTGTATAAAATTTAAATACAAACAATTTAATGTCTATTGTTTTTATATTGAGTCCAGTGACTACTATGTAATGTATTCACGCGTTTTAGCAATTTATTGAAGCTTATTTGTGCATATATTCAAAATGAATAATCAATATTGGACAGTTTTGAACTTATTTAATCTCGTGCACCAATATACTTAGTTATGATGATTAAAAACATTGTGTATTGTGAATGGATGATTAGTTATGCCTCTGTCGTTAACAGCTGATCAATGTGTTTGCACAAAAAAACCTCTTTGTACCGTTCAAAAGTCGATAACGTTAATGATATTCCAATTGCCTTTGTTTCACGTGCATATGGATTTCAGTTGCCATCACAATAGCGAACCCTGCCTAAACTATGACTAAAGTTGTACTAAATGAACTAACACAACTCAAAATGACCTAATCTTTGTGTACCTCGTAAATCCAAAGGTGCTGTTTATTTCCTTGCAACTATCCCTAAAGTTGAGAATAGTTTGGGATATCCCTGTAGCCAGGATCTTCTCTCTCGTCTTAAACTTCTCCAGCCCTTCTTCTCTTTCACTCCGCTCCCGTGAGACACATCTAAGAGATTTTATTTTTGTCTTGTAGCTTGGACCTCTCAGAACTCGCCAAGGCTGCCAAAAAGAAGCTTCAAGCGGTAAGAAAACCACTCATGCTCTTCCAAGTGGTTGAACTAGACGCTGTGGATCTACATGTGGTCAACCGGAAAATGTAAAGTCTTTCTGTTTAAGTTGCTGCTATTAGACATCATATGAAAATCTGACTTGTTAGACATTTTTACTAGTTTATAATTCTTTTACGTCCTTATTTACCCGCTATTTACCCGCTATAAGTTATTATCATTGATGCATGTTTGCTGTGGTTTGCATATGATTCAACAGCATCATCAGGCATTTTGGCACAATTATAAAAGTCTGCCGTTGTGTAAATGAACAAGGCATGTTTTCAATACAGATGTACCTGTATCTATAAGAATCAAACAAACTTTTATTTTGTTTTGAACCAATATTGAGCTCACCATATATATTTTTGATCCATAAGTGTTTTACAAAAGCTAAAATATGACTTTTTAAAAATCTCTGACTGAGAAAAGCGAGAACATCTCTCGATAGAGGCAGGCACCAGGACGGTTGAGGAGGATCAAAAATATGAATGATATTAGAAATATAAAAACCAAGATCATAGTACACCCTTGGAAAACTTTGGTACTGTTAAAAACACAAACAAAATCAATGTACATAATAAAATGCACATATTTACTGCATTTATTTTCTATGTTTCCATTTAGTACTAAAGTCCCTATATCAGTAGTTTCTCCCTCGGTTTTTTGCAGCTCAACAACCGTCTTTTTGAAGAGTTGGCCATGGATGTGTATGACGAGGTGGACCGCAGAGAAAACGATGCAGGTGAGCCTTCTTCACTCAAGACTGTATTTGTCCTCAGAGCTGCTGAGACTCTTCCATAAAAGATCTGCGACTCCACAAGTGATACTAAAAAAGGAGCTGTGGTTTAGAGTCCAGAGACGGTTACAGTGGATGGAGGGAGGAGAGGAGGAAGTGCCTAAAATGCCCCTGTGTGTCTCTCCTCCTCCTTGGAGCTCTCTGGCTTTATTTGGGACTCTTCTTTGCTCCTGTTCTGTTACAACTTTTTTTTTATTTTTTTTAATACTCTGACTTAGAAGCACTACAGGTAAGGTCTGTCCGGACAAGTTATAACTATGAAAACATTGTCTCTAGCACTAACAGATACTTGTTTGAAGCTTGTTTGCACTCATAGTATGTATTTTTTGTAATCTTGTAAATGAATGAACACTTGTTTGATTCTATCCTCCCACATTTTTGTCTGGCTTTCTAGTTTGGCTCACCACCCAAAACCACAGCACTTTGGTAACAGAACGCAGCGCAGTGCCATTTCTACCAGTCAACCCCGAGTACTCTGCCACACGCAACCAGGTAAGCACGTTTTCACTTGTCATTGATGCTTTCGGTTACACAGTTGGAGAAAACAAAGTCAGTTTTGAGGGTTTTATATGAGTGGTAAAATGGTTTTATTGAGGGTGGGTTGTCGTGCTGTGTGTCTGCCATGCTCCTCTGTTTATCCCATGCACAGAAAGCCATGTCTTGACTCTGTTCTTTCCATCTGTGAGACTCAATAGTATAAGCCGTTTCTGTTTGACATAGGCTAACGGGAAAAATGTCTCGTGTGGCTACGTTTACTTTTCCCTGATTGGACAGTTCGCTGTGGTCAACTACTGCCGGCTATTTTTAGTGGGGGAGACCTTTAACTCTTTGCTGTACTTTATTGTGGATGAAACCATGCTGTGTTCAAAGTTTAATTGGTTGGAGAGGGTGCTTTTGCAATGTTTTGGGAGGAAAGGTTTAAGGTTGTAATTAGGATAATGAATACACACACTGCACATGGAGTAGTGTCATTGTAAGTAGTTGTAACTTTTGTCTCTTCCTGATTTTACAATTCACTGTAGTGGCCCCTGCAGATTTTTATAGTGTGACATTTATCTTTAAAATGCCTTTTAATATGTATGGAGCTGGCACTTTTCCCCTCTTTGTAGCCCCCTGGGGTCGTGGAAGCAAACTATTCCACATTTTCTTTTAGATGTCTTTAAAGAAACATTATAAGAGTTCAGATGTGGTAAAATTCTCCAATCCGTTGGAGAGTCTCTGTTGGTCTCCACTGCTTCATCATTGTAGCGTTGGTATTTCCAGATGTATTGTAATGTGAACATACTATTTTTCGTATAGTGCTTATACAGATATGTAACACAGATTTATATTCATTCACTTCACAAAGAGTGTTGGTATGCTACATTTGTTGAACCTATGATCCCAGTACCAGCAGATGGCACTTGATAAGCAATGTATTCTGGTGCTTTACTCAGTACACTAATACAGGTAGGCAGTTTGCTGATTACAGAATGTGTCTGGGGAAAATATTTGGACGATAAAGTTTCTCGTGAATGAAATGGTGCTTTGTGTCTTAGTCCATGTTTACATTCTGTCCTCACACTTTTCTGCTCACGCAATTGCAGAATTTATGAGGCTACACATTCACATAAGTCTAGTGTTTTGAGAGTTTTTCTCCTCTGACCGGGTTTTTCCACTGACCACAGTCGCCACAACTGCTCTTAGTGTGGGCTTAAATGGATTCTGCATACGACACAACTCTGGTTCAGATGCTGTGCCACTTTTGCGAGGTAATATCAAGGGTCTGAGGATCTAAACTTGGCTCTCTCCCGTACGTCTATCTCTCTCTCTCTCTCTCTCTCTCTCAGGGCAGACAGAAGCTGGCTCGGTTCAATGCCCGGGAGTTTGCAACACTCATCATCGACATCCTGAGTGACGCAAAGAGAAGACAGCAGGGAAAAGGTCTCAGCAGCCCCACCGGTGAGCAGAGGAGGGGGGAGGGGGCAGGGACAAGACAAAACATTTTGTCGCTCACTGCATGTTGTAAATGCCACACGCTTATCTTTGGGTTAACTATTAAACAATCGGTTTGTTTTTGGAACTATGGATGCTATTTTAATCACAAAGAAACTGATAGGCCTAATGTTTAATCATTTTGCCTTACAGAAATCCTACAACAGTTGTTTTGGCTCAGTAATTCTGTGTATTATTTCTAAGGCTGTAACAAGTTAATCGATTAATCACAACTAATCGTTATAATAATACAATTTAGTAATAATTTAATAATTGTTTTAACCTTACATTTTTATGACAGATAATTCTATAATTACTCCAGAATAAAATGAAAAGGGGGTTGTACAAAGTATTATTTTTTCAAACAACCATATTGTGTCATCTCTATAAAAAAGTTTTCCAGGGGCATCACAAAAATTGTATATTTACTGACCTTTTTAGATCTAAAACAACTAATCAAATTATCATATTAAGCATTAATTGTAGCCCTTATAATTTCTTTGCCCAAAATGTGTTTATTCTTCTATGAGATTTGAGCTAGCGCTAGAGTAAGTAACATATCATACATACTGAGTACTAAATTGGTTCATTCAACCTTACATGGACTCATGCCGAGGCCCGTCCACACGGAGCCGGGTATCTGCTAAACCGCAGATATTTTTCTCAGTTTGCACCTGTCATCCACATGACAACGCATCATAAACGAATATATAAAAAACTCTGGGAAAAGTGGAGATTTTTGAAAACTCTGTTTATGCATTTGCGTGTAGACAGAGTTTTGCGTTTTCGCACGTCACGTATGCCCCCAAAACAACAACAAACAAAACGTGCGACCTCTGATCACATGAGAAAGCAGCAAAGTGATCACGCACGCTCGAAAACAACCAAAGCAGGAGCTAAACCGGGACTAAACCAGGGCTGAGGACAGGGGTCGCTTGTAAATATATGTCTTTACCCTGAGTTTCTTCTGTGACTGTAAAAGGGCCACTACAGAAGTACCGGCGTCAGCATCAAAGCTCCGCCCACTTCTTTTCTTTTCCCCAACGCAAGGCAGGACGTCAGAGGAAGCACATGTTTTGAATGTTATGAATGTGATTGAAAACACAGATGTTTGGTTATGTGTGGATGCAAATTATTTTATAAACGGAAAGGGGGAAATATTTGGTTTTAAAATGACCTGGCTATGTGTGGACATGGCATGAGTAGAGGTTCTATAACTCAGTTATTTCTATATTTGACTGCAGAATGGAACGGAAAATGACTTTACAAAGTACCAATCACACAATCCAATGTGTCAGTGTTCTTTGGGATCCAGACACCTAGTCCATGAATCAAAAAAATATTTATAATCAAATAGTCCAAATTTTAGTAAGTCATTACAGCCATATTTTAGAGGACATTTGTAGGGTTTGGCCTTCATTAGTTTTGATTTTGTTCTGGTCCAACTGGTTTACTTTAATAACTATATATATCTCTTGTTATAAACACTTAGATGTAATGGGAACATTGTACTTTGCAAACAAAGCTGTTGATTTATGTATTGTTGTTACAATTGCAGTCTGTGACACTAGGAGACATCTCTGTCTTCAAACGAACACTTATTTACTCATCACAATCTCTCTTTGTCAGAGCCTCTGGACCTGGGCTTCGACGACGACCAGCACGACTACGACAGCGTGGCCTCAGACGAAGACTCCGACAGCGAGCTGACAGCACAAAACAACAACAACACGCAACGCAGCAATCGAGCCAAGGTAACGCTTTTCCATTCACCGCTGAAGTCATTTCTTTGGGTCCAATTGCGTCTAATTCTATTATATTTGAAGACTAAAATAAGGATTTTTGCCATAGTAGTTTAATTCAAAATGTATTTATCTCATACTGGTCCTCTAAGGTCCTGTGTGGCTGCAGGTTTTTATTCGTACCGATCAAAATGCATTTATTCTTTCACTTTGTCTGACTGAAGTGCATTTCACATGGGCACACATGTTGAGTACATTTTATTGCTAGTATTTTAAAAATATATGAATCCCATGTTAATTCCATTTATTGAATGATGAACTGTGATATGGACAGTGCATCTCTCCTTTTCTGGATGGCTTGCCTGTCTTGAGACTGCCAGTCCCAGCATGCTTTGCAGGGAGTGGCCATAAGGAGGGTTGCAGCATAGCTCCTCAGTGACATCACCAGCTATTCTGGGCCTGTGTTTGGAGGCCATTGTTCAAAGAGTGAGAGGAGTGAGCAGATGAGGGAATCTGAAGTTCTGCCAAAACTTCATACTGGATGAAATTTACTTGAGATGTCTATCTAGATGGGAGATTTCTGTGAAACCATTTTCAGGACTAGGAATAGGACAACTGCAAAGAAATACCCCTAAAAGTCTGTTAATTCTGAAAAGAACTTCTTTATCTCAAAGATGTAAAAGATAGGGTGAATACTTCACTTGGACTGTTTTTTAGGTTGAGTTCTCAACATGTAGAATAGGTTTCATGAGTTTATGGGAAACAAAATAAGCATTCTGTATACATAATTGTACTCATATATGTACTTTATGTAACATTTTGTATAAAAAAAAAATGGGTCTATTTAGTTCCGATAAAATAAGTAAATTTTTAGTTTTATGAGTTTGCTGGGGCCTCGTGGTTGCTTTTGTCACATTGGATTGTAGGGAGACTTTAGCTGCATGCTCTCGGTCACAGGAAGTTCATGTGGACATTCAAGTTCACCGTCTGTGTGGGTCCACAGCCGTCAGCAGCCCGCTTCCTCTGCTCTTCTGTAAACTCTGTTACCCAAAACAAGATACTTGCTGAGCCAGAATTCCATTGTTTAATCTTCAAGTCTAATATTTTTTTTTTCTTACGGTGTTACCACATTCAAATGGTTTCATGTACTTCAGGGCTGTTTTGTGGTTTTGAATACAAAGGGAGTGTTTTGCTGGTGCAGGATTAATAATGATAATTATGCATCACTGCTTGAATTCAGAGGTCTGCTGGGATCTGGCTTTCACATTCAGGTGGAATGTTGTCTAAAACTTATATAAATCAGCCCTCAATAAGATAATAATCGTGTTGTCTTCCAAACCAGGGTAAATTAAGTGATATTTGTCTGTGTAATCGTTTACTTTTAAGGTACTTTTACAATGTTATGCAATTTTAACTTGACAAATATTCATTGATTGTAGCTTAGTTGGTTTGATCTTTGCTAGAAATTCTATCCTTGTCCATATAATGTGTATAATTTCAATTGTGTGTTCAGAGCATGGACTCGTCGGACTTGTCGGATGGGCCCATTACGTTGCAGGAGTACCTGGAGGTGAAGAAAGCCTTGGCCTCGTCTGAAGCCAAAGTGCAGCAGCTCATGAAGGTCAACAACAACCTGAGTGAGGAGCTGCGCAGGCTGCAGAAAGAGGTATACTGCGGCTTTGAGAAATCCTTGAATGTTTCTTCTAGTTTTAACGTCTTGACTATAATTTAGTCTCTTAACATTTTTATTCTGGAGACAAAACGAATCAAAATGGAGAAGTACTTCTTTGATTGTCAGTTTGCATTTGAAGTGAAGCCATATTCCCATCACCTAAACCATTGGTATAGGTGATAGGTGGTAATTATACATGTTAAATTGTGCAATTGCATGGTACTAGGCATATGATGAAGTGAAAGAAAAGTGTTTGGTGCACCATATATACATACCTAAATCAAAGGAGTGGAGAGCTGCTGTTGACTGAGCGCAAGGTCAGCGACCTCTGGTTACTAGCGCATGTATTGACAGTACTGTATTCATGTATACACAAACATCAGGGCCATTGACAATCACATGTGAGCTGTGTCCATTAAATACACTGCATGACCATTCAAACTAATGTAAGCATTGCCATATGCTGTAACAGACCTCCTCCCGTTCCCTTTTTGACTGTGCCCAGCCTGGAGGTGAACCCCACTGAATGTTGACCCTGTTTGCTGTGTTAACTACACTCAACAAAATTCAATAAAATCTTTGCTTTTCTACACTCTTCACAGAGCTGAAAGAAACTCCCAAGAGTTGTTTCAAATGTGCTGCTACATGCATATAGACATGTAATGATTTACGAAAGTATGAAATGCAAATATTGAGATGAGGAGAGGACTGGTGAAGCAAAAGCAAAATTGATGGTCATAAAATTGTTGTTGAGTGTAAAATGTTTTGATGCTTGTGTTTGACCTCAGCTGACTCCTGTTGTCCCTCCCTCACCCACCATCACCCTCCTCTTCTGTAGATCATGCGGATCCAGACTGAGAACAGTTCACTGCGGGGGGGCCAGCAGGCGGGGGGGAGCGGGCAGGGTCCGGGTGGCCCTGGAGGAGGGCACTGGGCGGGCAGTGGCGGCCGCTCTGGAGGGGGGGCAGCTCTCAGTGTGTTCGGTCCAAACACAGACCCTCAGAGTCTGTCCCTGTCCTCTGGGGCTTCTCACTCCCACCACAGGCGGGACAGACAGGCCGTGTCCATGTACGAGCCTGGAGCCGCTCCGGGACCCCCCGCCCTGGACCCCTTGTCAGCGCGCCTGCAGCCCCTCCACACACCCAGTGTAAGTGAGACCCCAGAGTCCTCCTGCTTACACCTCTGCAGACCACTGCTCCACTCGGAGCCACCTTTCTCTTACAGCTCCAGTCGTGCATTCTGACTTGTTCATGGTATCACTCATAGTCCTGTTGAATTATAAATTATATCCTTGGTTAAATTATAAATACATTTATGAAATTAAAGAGAAACTGCACAGCTGGAGTCTGAAGGAGAAAGAGGGCTGATTCCCCTCCATACCTTTAACCTGAGACTTTAAAGGTGAATGTTTATTGCTCTCGGGATTCACTTTATACAAGGATTCGGGTTGGTCTGAAGTGCCACAGAACTCATAGCAGTACACTCTTCTGTACACTCTCCCATGGACTTGAGAATTCAACTCCATGTTTTGTCTTTTATTAAACCTTCTAGAGGTCGTCTTGTCCTTTCTTCTTTTGCTCTACCGTGCATCCTCTGGATTTCAGCATCTGTCTGCCATTGTTGTTATGGTTTTCTGATCTTTGTATCCAGGAGTGTCTGTCCATCACGTCTACTTTACCGGTTAATACTGAATCAAGTCTAGTGCAAAAGCATACAGCCATAGCTGGTGTAGAAGAAGAGGCATGGAGACTTAATGCTATGTTTGGGTTCTATAGTCTTGCTGGTTTTGAATTGATCCTTCTCTCTGCTCTTTCCCTTCATGCTAATCTTTCTCCTGGTATATACTTCACTTTCCTTTATTTCCTTGTTCACTGTCACTAGATGAGGAAGGGCAGCACAGGGGGACCAGTGTCTTATGGCATCCAGCATCTGTCCAGCACAACTGATACATACAACCGATACATGGTGAGTAACTGAATGATACATGTTTTTTAATGTTCTATTCAAACGGTGCATACCTTTTGTTTCGTTCAAAGTGTTGACTTTATATGAAGTTTAAGATGAATGAATATTTATAGCAGTTTTTCTTTTTTTAGGTGCCTAAATCTGAAAAGCACGGCAGCGGTACAGACAGCGACTATGACAATACGCAAACCTATGACGTTTCGCTAAGGTTGGTTTCACAATTCAATATAAAACTACAATACTTATCCATGTTGCAATTGTTCACATCTCAATATTCTCATGTAATTAGAAAGTAACTCCTAGCATTAAGGCACAAATGTAAAATAAAAAAAACCTTCCATGTTTATTGTGATACGTGATGCACCATGCTTGTTGGTGCCAATAATGTCTTAGCTGATTTCAAAATGTGGCTTGTTTTTAGTATGGGCCGCAGCAGTGAAGAAGAGGGCCGCGGAGAGTCTGAGGACGGAGGGGCGGAGCTGGGTGAACCAGACCCCACGCTGCCCTGTACCGAAGATGTCATTCTGAAAACTGAACAAGTGACCAAAAACATCCAGGAGCTGCTGAGGGCCGCGCAGGAGTTCAAACACGACAGGTAAACAAGCATAGCCGTCACCGATTACTTACTATGTCACTTAGAATTACCTTTCAGAGAGATGGTTCTTACTGAATTTGTTTGTTTTTAGCTTTGTTCCATGCTCAGAAAAAATCCACTCCGCTGTCACAGAGATGGCCTCCCTTTTCCCCAAAGTAAGATTTTTTTATTTATTTTGAATGATATTGTTTTGCAAATACCAGATCTGATGTAAGCCTTTTCTCTCTGCTGCAATATGGGCTGATAATTGTGTAGCATTGCCTTATCCTAACCATTGCAAAATGATCGTATACATTTTTTGGCTTCTCTTCTCACCCGTCGACAAAGGCCTTTTTCTTATTCTTTTGGATGGACATGTCGTTAGGTATAGTGGTTCTGTTAGTCCACCCCCTCTGTATAAGCCGCTGCTTCCCAGTTAGCTCTGCTTTAATAGCCAATATTGTTGCTAGTGAGAGTAATGGGTCATTCAAATATTTCCCATTCGCCTCCATTCTAGTACTGTCCTATGTCTGCAAAGATGTGACCTTATGTTTAGTGACCGTAGACCGTAATACCAGCGTTAGTTGTAGCTCCAGTCTACAACGTCTAATTTGTCTTTCTCTTCACCTTTAGCGGCCGGCCCTGGACGCAGTGCACTGCTCGCTGCGGCTGCTGGCCTCCAGTGCGTCTCGGTTACAAGTGGAGTGTCGTAAAGCGTCGCCCACGGAGCCCGGGGCCCCCGCTGTGGACTACCAGCTCCTCACACAGCAGGTCATACAGTGCGCTTACGACATCGCCAAGGCAGCCAAACAGCTAGTCACCATCACCACTCGAGAGAAAAAACAATAGGGACGTGCCCTAGAGATGTGAAAGCAACTGAAGGGCTTCTCGTGTGGGTGAAAAGAGGGATTTTGTTGCGAGAGAGGTGAGCCGTCAAGATGTGGAGCAGTAGAGGATGCATGAAAGTTGAAAAGATTAAAACCACTACTCGGGTATGGGCAACATTAGGTAAAAAAAAACGCCAGATTGCAATTTTGATTTTAAATTACAACTTCAAGCCAATGCAAAGTCACCTGCTTCTTCATAATTCATATTTCATTTCCATTGGTTAGAGTCACAAACTGAGAACCCTACACTGTCGGAGGAGTACACTGCAAACAAATACCTTGCTGTGAGTTAGAATGACCACTTCTCCTTCTCTGTGTAGATTTAACTTTCTACACATGCTCGAACACATGCTCGAAAGCCCTGCTGTACAGAGCTGTTTTACAAATGGGATGGCGGATGTTGAAAGAAAGATGTTTTTACATTTTTTGAGATGACCATTTTGACAACTGGAAACCATACAACTGTGAGCTACAACAAAGATGCACAGAGAACTGGAAACACTATTTATTTTCTATCTTTCTGGATTGTGGAAATGTATTTTTTTTCTTTTTACGAAAAATGGTTGTCAATGCAAGTGACGGAGCTTGTCACGCCTCCTCCTCTCCTTGCACCCTTTCCACCGGGCCACCCTCTTTCTGTGCCACACAACCGTCCCAGACACAGGATTCCTACAGTTCTGACAAGAGCCCAACGTTCAGAAACCCACACAAGTTCCACTCTCCTACTGAACACGGCATGATCTAGTATGTTTTTTCATTATTATTATTATTATTAATATTTTTGTTACTTTTTTATACAATGCAGATTTGGTGACATCTGCGCTTCTGAGGACAAGCATTACTGACTTTCAAACTTACACTGGAATAATTATTATTGTTTATCCGATGTTTTTGTATTGCTCTTTTTTTGTTCTTTTGATTATACTGTTTATCTGTGTTTATTTCATTGTCTCAAATAGCGGATTTTCATTTACAGACTTCACCTGTGAAATGGTCCTGTGTTTTGTCAAGGCGATTTACAATGAAGAGTTAAAGTTGCCAAATACGAAAGGCAAGTTTTGGGTCACACTAAATGCCCTGTTTACTTGACCATGAGACTTAAGGTCTTTTTAAATATTATTTAGCTAAAAAGCAAATCATCTCACAAACACTTTCACTGTGCCAAGTAGTTGCAAACGAGCATTATAGTACGATATTGATTATTCTTGTACTCCAAATGATTCAATTATAAGAGGTAATTGGTGGTTTGATGGTGGCATACTGCTATAATGGGTCCTTGTTCAGGGATTGTACTTTCTTGGAGCGTTAGCAATATAATCTTTGAAGAAATTGAGAATGTGGCTAGTAGAACATTTCAATCAATGCAGTGACTTGAAGCGTGCGCCCCATTGTTTAAGAAGCGTCTCTAAGCAATGTAGTTCAGTCATCAGCCACCATCCCTAAATGTAAATGTATTGGATAGTTTGGAGTGCAACTATAGAACACGACAGGCAGTGTGGATGGAGTCGATCTCTAAAATACCAGGATGTTTACAGTCGCTATATCTGAGACAATGCATTCAGCTCTGGCCCAATTACTACGTTATTATGATCCATGCCATAATCCGCTCATGTGGCCTATGCAAGTGAGAAGAGCATTGGGAACAAACATTTTCTTTTCAAATGTATTGTTTTTATGTGCTGAGATAACTTGACAATTTCAGATCGTACTGTTTATTGTGGATCTTAATCTTATAACATTTTACGTGTCTTTTGACTTCAAATTCAGCCATGTCTGTTTGGGGGAGAAAAAAAAATGCCTTTCAAATCCCAAAACTGCACATTTTCCTTTGCTTGCCTTTTTGGCTGTAAATGCTTTATAATTTTAATACCTGACAATTGAAGAAGCGAGTTTAGCTTATTAAACCCTTTATCTAATGAGTCTTTTCAAAGGCTTTATTGTACTGGGGTTTTTCGCTGATGTGCCACTGTATGGGAGAATGGTCAGATTGTATTGAATGAATGTCTTGTACACTTTTATTACAATTTCTTTGACTGAATTTGACCACTGACAATATTTGAAAAAAAACCAAACAAACACACTACAAAAGAATGACCATGGGCCGAAAGGAGAAGGCCACTTTGACTAAACCTAAGGCTTTATATTCATGTCATATTAAGCTATAAGGATTATTACTTGGGATATATTTATTTATCTTTAGTTGAGCCAAATCGACTGCAGCTCATGACACCCTCTGTACTTAAAAACACGGGAAGCTTTTGTGTAGAGTTGTAAAAAATTGAAACTGTATGACCATTGATGTGCAAGTATGTGGACACAATAGCAATATATAGGGAAAGTTGGTTTATGTCCAGTATCATTTGAAATATTCTGTCATTTCTTATATGCGTAACTCTTATTTTTGTTTGTTACGTCATTGCGACTCATACATTTGAATGTGACATAATGTAATGTTTATCTCCTGATATTGTATTATTTTAAGTACATTGGGTGTCTTGATAAAAGCGGAAGATCTCTTCAGGCTTTAACCTTCATCTCAAATGGTCTGTGGTCGCAAAACGCACATCCCACAAGTTCATGGACACTTAATAGTGCCTCAAGTGTGAATGTTCAAAATGTTTTATCACAATTGCAGCACATACTTTCCAGAGTTGAATAGTTTTTGGGACACTCTATAAACTAACGGACCAACCTTTCCAGAAGTAAGACGTTTAGAGCCAGTCGAAGCTGAGCCACTGGCAGTGCATTGTGGCCTGTTTTATTGTCAATGTTTCAACATTTCAACAACTTTGGGAGATGGGAGAGCTATCTTTTAACAAGAGATAATGTATAAAGTAGAGAAAACAAAGGCTTAAAGTCAAATCGTAATGTAAACTCATAAGCTGTACATTTGTAATAAAATAATAAAACAATTCATTGCCATTTGTGTGATTGTCATTCTTTGCAGGACATAGTTAATCTCAACATCTGGTTTATGCAGTTATAGGTCTCAACCATAGACTGTATGTTTAGTTGAGATAATATTTACTATGTAATAAAATAAAGTTTGAAAATATGGAAGTTAAGTACACTGCTCACAAAAACTTGGGGCACACCCAGAAAACACAATGTAACTCCAAGTCAGTCAAATTTTTGGGAGATCAGACTGTCCAGTTAGGAAGCCACACTTATTGTGAATCAATTTCAACTGCAGTTGTGGAAATTTAACAGACAACAGGTGGAAATGAGAGGCAATTAGCAAGATCACTCCAAAAGAGGAATGGTTTTGCCATTACCATTTCCCTGTCTTCATCCTTTGTACCACATTTTTGGAACACTTTTGCATTTGTCCAGTGTTCTCACCACTAGAGGTATCATGAGGAGGCATCTACAACCCACAGAAGTTGCTCAGAGAGTGATGCTCATCCAAAATGGCATGTCCATTCATGCTGTGGCAAGAAGGTTTGCTGGGTCTCCGAGCGCAATGTCCAGAGCATGCAGGAGATACCAGGAGACAGGCCAGTACACCAGGAGACCTGGGGGGGGCCAACCGAGGTCAACAACCCAGCAGCAGGACCGCTATCTGCTCATTTGTGCACAAAGAAACAGCAGAAGCACTACCCGAGCCCTACAAAATGACCTCCAGAGGGCCACAAATGTGCATGTTGGTCCTCAAACGGTCAGAAACTGACTCCAAAAGGGTGGTATTAGGGCCCGACGTCCACAAGTTGAGCCGGTGCTTACTGCCCAACACCGTGCAGCCCGATTGGCAGATTGTCCAATGGTGCCCTATGCTCTTAACGGATGAGAGCAGGTTCACCCTGAGCACATGTGAGAACGTTCTGCTGCTTGCAACATCATCCAGCATGACCGGTTTGGTGGTGGGTCAGTGATGGTCTGGGCAGGCATTTCATTGGAGGGCTGCACAGCCCTCCATGGGCTAGCCAGAGGTTCCCTGACTGGCATTGGGTACCGGGATGAGATCCTCAGACCTATTGTAAGACCATATGCGGGTGCTGTGGGCCCTGGGTTCCTTCTGATGCATGATAATGCCAGGCCACATGTGACAAGAGTGGGTCAGCCGTTCCTGCATGATGAAGGTATTGATGTTTTGGACTGGCCTGCCCGTTCCCCAAACTTAAATCCAATAGAGCACATCTGGAACATCATGTCTCGGTCCATCCATCAACGCCACGTTGCACCACAGACTGTCCAGGAGCAGACTGATGCTCTAATCCAGGTCTGGGAGGAGATCTCTCAGGAGGACCTCCGTGGTCTCATCAGGAGCATGCCCAGGCGTTGTAGGGAGTGCATTCAGGCACGTGGAGGCCACACACTCTACTGGTGATGATAAAGACTCATTTTGAAGAATTTCTAAAGAATTTGGATCAACCAGTTACCTCATTTGTCACTTTGATTTTGACTATAATTTTGGATTCAGACCTCCAGGGGCCGAGAATTTGATTTCCATTTATCATTCTCAACACACTATGAATAAAGATTTTCATCCAAAAAATTGAATTGATTGACATCTAGGATATGTTTTTTGAGTGTTCCCTAAGTTTTTGTGAGCAGTGTATTACTTCCTGATCCATCTCATGTCAGTCCGCGACACAATCTCAAAGCAACAATTGTAACATGGGAAAAATCTACAATAAATGGACAACACAGATGGCATAAATGGCTTTGTTCAGTATTGTTAAACAGCAGCTTTGCAATCTGTACCTCTATAGTACTAACCAGAACATTGCTTATAACAGCAACAGCCTTTCAAAAGTATAAAACATGTAATAGGCAGGTTTTTATATTGGAGAGTGTGGGTGTGGAGAGTTCATATAAAATACTCTTTGATGGGTTCAAACTAAAACCCTATGGATATTCTTCTGAACTGGACGAGCTGGGCAGTAAAACGACACACTTTTTTCTGCCTCTCTTGCGCCTCCCTTTGGCCAGACGCAGTCTACGACGGATCACATCTGTAGATGAGAAAAATTTGTATTCAAAATGCTAATCTCAAGAGGGGTGTGTAAACTTGATCCTGGTGGAGGTTATAGCCCAAAAGAAACAGTAGGGGTCAGCCTTAAGCCGTGATTTAAACTAACTATTCTTATTTTAAGAATGGATCTTCTTATTTTAAGAATAGATGTTGTAAACATTAGAAGTACTAAACAAAAGCGTATGCACTGTATATTCAACACTGCTCTTATATGCATTTTTTGCATTAGTCATTCAGACTGTAGTATTATGTATTCAGTATATAAGCCCTGTGTTGATCTTTACCTGCCACACTGTCGTAGTCTTGTTGTGGATCGTGCCAGTACAAGCTGTTGCCTCTCCTCCAGTGTCTGTAGAGCCGTGTGTGGAGGATGGAGAGTGTGAGCAGCACCAGGATGAAGCCCAGCGCTCCTGCGGCCCACACAGCCTCATCTGTCCTGGGAGTACTCTGAAAAACCACCTCTGCCCTGTGGCTCTGGTCTGCTGCTCCTTTAATGCATTCACATACTTGGTTTGGTTTGCACTGACAGTCTCCACCATCAGCTGCCTGGGATTTTGTGGAAGAAATGAAGTCATTTAATCCAGTTTGATTAGACTTTTCTGTATTGTCCACAACTTCTCTTTCCTTTAAATCTATAACTTCATTGTCTCTTGGCTGAGCATCAGAATTATTTTTTTGTATCTGAGAATGTTTGTCAGTTTTGGTTTTTGTGGTCCTTGGTGGATTTGGAATAAACCTTTTTTTCAAGCTTGGGGACTGGGAGAGTGCACCCTTTGTACTACTTTGATTCCCATTTTGAGAATACATCTTTTTTGGTAATGCGTGGCTTTGAAGCTGGTGGATAATGCCGCTGTTTGACTGATGTTTTGTAACTTTTGGGAGATTTGTAGTTGACTTCACAGCTGCTCTTTTCACTCTTCCTTCATTTTGAGTGACCTTTCTGAAGCTTGAATGCAGCTGTGTCTTCATTTTTTCTGGCAAGTGTGAGATGGCCCGCTCACAGCACTGCTTCAGAAACCCCTGAAAAATAGTAAACAGTATTGTAAGTTTTACTATACATTCTCGTCTGAGTGTCTCACAAAATGATTAAGAGGTACATCCATCTTTCACTTATTCATATGGTGTAACAGTCAAACTAACCTCTGAGCTCCACCCATTTTGCAGCTCCATCATTAATTAAAATTCCAAATGTAAAATCCCAAATGAGATTTAGAAAAATTATTTGCATAAGATTAATAACATGTTAAGGGATAATCAGCTTTCTGTTGAATAATGACAACGAGATCTACATGAATATATATTGTACAAAATACTAAGTTATTTAAAGTGAATGGTTTTTTTTGGCAGCAATCCCTATGCTATGGATAGTTGTTAGCATGTAGCTAGTTAACTTCTAGTTTGCTGCTAGTTAGGTCTTCAAATATAATTAAACATTTTCAAAAGTGCATTTAAATTCTGAAAACCTTAGCCCTGCCTACTTCACAGTTCATGGACTCAAGCAGAAATAGTACACACAATAATTGCTAACCTTGTTTTCTTGGAGCCTCTTCTGGTTCTTTGCTTTGATCAACAGAAAGTTGTATTGGTTTTCATATATCCGCTCTACCGCTTTAGGTTTGGTCAATAGTGTTCTTTCGAGCCAGTCACATATTTCTGAAGACACCACAGTGGAAATCTCCAAAGCCCGACCCCATGACACCAGGGCTATGGGCTGAAAAGAACACAAAAAGTAAATTATTCATCAGTCGCACCTACTAAATAGAAATAAATGAAGTGTTGTGTCAAATACTGTATTTCAAATTCATTGTTGGCTAATTAAAAGTTTTATGAATGTTTCCTGGATTGTATTGCATTTTAAGAATGAATGCGTAGAAATAGTCTTGTTTCCCCTACCCCTATAGGCACCCACACTCTCCATTTAACCCTCTGCGCTTGTGATTATTTTAAACAATTCAGTCCTACGATCATACAGGCAGTGTTAAACCAGTCACAAAGCCAGTAATTGAAATTCTGCTACTTCTAAATTAATGTACTACTATAGTTGACAATGATAAAAATGTGAAATCCTGATTTTTATAGTTTCATACTAAATACCAAAAAAAGCATCTGTCAAGCCATTGTTTTCTTATAATTATCTTACCCTGTTGGCGTCCAGGTTCTTGTGGGGTGTGAGGATGAAAATGTTGATGCAGGACTGAGCCAACGCGGACAGAAGCCGACGCTCATGGAGAGAGGAGCAGGGGTGGTAAAGTAACACTGTGGCTCCATTCTACCACACACACACACAATTAGTGAGTTATGGTTACTTTCTGTTTGGCATTAGATAATGATTGGACTAGTTATTATGAATGCATGTGGGGATATATGGGTATACCCCATCCATCTAGCCGCTAAACTATGTGTGCAAGGTGAAATAAAGCAATTAGAAATTCACTTTTGCACACACACAAAATCCTTGACAAATATAGTAAGAGTTCAGACTTTCATTTTCATATCTTGAATATTACAAACAAATTGACCTTGAATCGCAGCGCACAGATGCCGCTGTTGCTTGTATTGATATTATGGCTGGACCCAAACACTCGCCCATGTCAGAAAAGCTAGCTCATTGGAGTGTTTTAAATCCTGTCTAAAGACACACTTTTAGTCTCTGTTTTTTTAATCTGCATAAGTTGTGTGGTCTCATGCTGTTGTGTGTTTTTTATGATTGTGGTTTAGAGTGAATTAAATCAAATTGGGCATGCTTGTATATACCTGTGCAGCACTTTGGAAATGGTCTTGCTTCTAAAAGGTGCTGCATACATAAATTGCATTGAATTAATAATCACACTAGATTCATATCTATATATTGTACACATGAAGTCGATGACAAATCATCAATGAATCTGTCCGTTCTAGACAAGTAACAAGACAGTTCTATGACTGAATAGGGATGATTGTGCATGTTTTTTTATATTATATATATAAAAATGAATAACTTTCAATTACATAAGCATGAGCTGCTGCCTACTCCTGTTCATGAATTTGTATATCTTAATTATGCTGATTTCCAATATGTCAGTGTCTGAAATAATACATGAATGAATATTAGTATACTGGTTCAATTACAGTTTTGACTTACATGCAAGTTGTTGACCCATCTCTGTGGAGGGCAGTAGAGATACTCCCCACTCTCTGCACTCACTGGTCTGAATGCACCACTGAAATGAATCACATACAATGGAATTTATAGATGAAACCACATCTTGCACAAATATGACACAAATCCAAGTCAAACCTGTTAGGAATAGTCTGATTGTAGGAGATGCATTCATCCATGCACTTCACTTTGGCAGGCTACAAAAATGTAATGGTAAAATTGTAAATTGAATTCACATGTTTTGGGGTTGTATAGTATATTTAATCAGTCAATACATAGTTCCTACTTAACCCAGCTTTATGTTATTTGCCTGTCTTTTCGTTTTAGAGACCGCCCATGTTATCATAAAGGTTCACAGGGCCAAAGTTTAGGGGAAATCCAATAAAGATAGGCGTTTTTAAAATGTGTCTTGTTTGCTCACCTCCGGATTGTATGGTGTCTCAACACTGTAAACTCTCTGCAGGAAGAAAGAACATTATGACAGAGAATAATATTTGAATGTGATTTTTTTTTCAACACATATGCCACAACAATAACTTTGAATTGCTTTCTGTTAACTTGAGTAGCGTTAATGTGAAGAAAGCAGATATTACTATTAGTTACTTGTAGACGAATCAATGTGCAAGAACCAGTTTAATAATTTACATATCCAATTCATCTTAGCTGATCACAGATTTAATGCTTTACTCTAGAAGGGGTTAGGGGGCCCTAGCTTTACTTCTTGTACAATGCACATATTTTTCCTATCCAATCCCAGTGGTCAGATATTATAAAGTCTATGAATTAACACTATACCTGAGATTGTGGCCATAGAGGAGTAGGGCAATCCCTGTGCGCTGCGTCTTTGGGGAGGTCTGCATCCAGCAAAACCTGTCACACAACACGGGACAATACATCAGCACCATAATGCAGGGTGGAAACAAGAACATGAACAAGACTGGACAGGCCACATATGTCACTCACTTTTCCATTATCACAGGTTTTCCACGAAGACTCGCTCAGACACCGACCCACAGTGACCCACAGAGCCGCCAGCGCAGTTACGCCTCTCGGTACCGCGCTGATGGCTTGACCCGGTGGCATACTCACGTCCACGCATTTAGATCTTTTGATTGTCAAGATGAATGGTCATTTCAATCGAATCATTCTTCTGTCTCTCTCAAAATATCCAAAAGCATGTCCAAAACTCAGCTTCCATTACTAAAAACAGCATCGTCTTCTATAATTTTGTTGCATATTTTTGTTATAACTACACCTCAAATGTTCATCTCTCCAAACTTTGTTGTTGTCTGGCGTTTACTCAAAAACTGACGAAAAACTACAAAGCTTGTGCTTATAATATAACAGCTAACTCTATGTCCTTTCATTTGCATTTCAAAATAATAGTTTAATATGACAGATGAGCAAGCGACGACGAGAGAAGCAGCACTCGACAGTGATAATTTAACAAACCTACTAGTATTTATTATAGTCTAATATATTATAGTATTCATTAGCCAGCGTATTAATTCAATACATTAATTTCACTCCTTGGTTTCGGTTTATGTTAAAAACATAAAATGTATCGTTTTATTTTGAAAGTGTACTTCCGCTTTCAGGTAGCACTCACACTACGGAAGCTGCGGAGATTCAATGTGATTATTATTTAAATGAACAAATGTGATAATATCACAACATAATGTACATACTTTGAGAATATTTTAAAGTTTAAACAATTATAATGATTAATTACAAGACTTCTCCCTACTTCTCGCTTTAACTGGTCCTGCAGGTGTAACTCGCACTACCGGTTGTCACTATGTGTGTAAATACCATAGACTGTAAAAACCAAATTTATCATGGGAAGATTCTGTTTCTTTTTGACAATGTATGCATGCTATATCATTAAATCCTCAACTTCATACATTTACAACAATCAGATTATTATCCCTCAAAATATAGAAATGTGAGCCAGGCACTTTCCCATGGACACACCTTCCTTCTCTGCACCCACGTCTCTGAGCCATAGACTCTGAGCACACGCCTTAAAACACTCGGTTGAGACCAAAGTAGCGCAGTGTGGATCATGGAGGCCCCCACCTTCTCCTCAGGTTGGTTATTTGTGCTTTAAACCATTTAACAGTATAGCACTTTATCAATATTATATGTGGCACATCTGTCTGAGTGTGTTTTATTTCAGTTCTATGAGTTCTCAGTTGTCAGATCTAAAAGTTTACAAATCAGGTTATAACGTACTTCCTTGTGATATTTAGTATTCAAAATGTATGTATATAAGCAAGTTGACACATTGAGGAAGTGATTGTCATGTTGCTGTCACAGTTACTATACATTCTTCTTCTAGCTTATTCAACACTGAATAATAAACTATTCTTATTTGGACACCATGATAATGATACATGATAAACTGTTTCATTTGGATATCTATCAGTAGCCTATTATAGTATTATAGATAGATATAAACTAAACAGTGGAGGAGTTGCAATGGTGTTACAAAATCTGTAAATTACTCACCGTTTTTGGCATTTTGTTTTGTTGGGTAATTGCTTTAAATAAACTATGGAATGAACATAATATTTGCACATGATGTGCTGCAACTACTAACTGTCACGGTGTGGATTTTGTTATTTTGGACTTTAGTTTTATTTTGATATTCTGTTCTCTGTGCTTTGGTTTTAAGTTTGACTTTGACGCCCTGTTTCCCCTGTCTTGATTGTCTGTATTAATGTGTTTCACCTGTGTCTGTCTATAATTATCCTGTGCTGCTCCTCTTGTTGCTGGTCCATTGTATTGTCAACCTCCGTCCTCTCTTGTCATGTCTGTTCCTGTTTCGTTGCTGCTTGTGCCTTTTGGATTTTTGAGTTTTAACCTGGACTTTTATTTTGTTATCATTAAATAATTATTTTTTGGCATTCCTGCTTTTTGAGTCCTCATCCTTCTCAGCACGTGACACTAACACTGCTTATGCTACTACACATCTGCTACTGTGTTATTAAAGTTAATCAGAAAGATGAATCAAAGTTAAAATATGTTCAAGAACAAAAATCATTATGACTAAATATGGTGACATTTGATATTCATTAGTTTGAGTACAAATTGAGTTGACACACAGCAAGAAGTGATTCATATTTGACATGGCCATCGGAAATGGACCATCTTGAACTGAAACTGTTAGCCAATACATCCATGCCTCAGAAATTACATTAACAGCACAATCAACAGATATATACTACTACTACTACGGTGTCCTTCATGAGCACTCCAATCATTAAGTCGTGATTCAGCATCAGCCTGATGCCCATGGTGCACCACATCAGTGTTGTTGGCTTTGTACTACTGCTACTATTAATACTACAACTACGACTATGACTACTACTACGACTACGACTTCTACTACAACGACTACTACTACTACTACTAAATTATATATATGTTTCAGGTGGAGGAGAGAGTGCAGTTGTGGAGCAGCCCCCAGATTCTCTCAACTCTGGGGGAGAGCAGACACAGGCCGAAGGAACTGCACCTGTAATCATAATTACAGATGAGACAATTTTGTGTCCCATAGCACCGAGAGATGGAGAAGTCAGCAACCGACATTTAAATTCTGTGTAAGTTTTAGGCGTTCTTTGGTTGATCAGTTTGTTTATCTCTGCACAGTGGATTCACTCTGTCGATAGTTCCCTCTCTTCATCTGACAGTGAAGATGAGGGTTGCGGCAAGAAAGACAAGAAGAAGAAAATCAAAAAGAAGAAAAAGAAGAAGGTATGTGAATACGTCTAAATCATTACAACTCCCCACTGTTATTATAACTCGTGTAGGGTGAGAAAATGTCGATATCACACATAACTTAAGTTATGTACCGGATATCGGAGAATTGGATAAAAACAACCATGTAATAAATACAATAATTGATAATAGCTTTATTTAGGGGCACCAGGGAATAACTCCCAACTGATAACGTGCATATGACGATTAATATCAATTAATTGGCTTATCAATTAATTGGCTTATTTATTGATTAAGTAATCTCATGAGTCCTTTCATTATTTAATTAGCTAGTTAGTCCAATTCTCTTCAATAGAATCTGAAGGTAGTGAATTCTTTTACAAATCAGTGACCCAATTTCTGGAGTTAAAAGTACAAATATCACTTTCAGACAAAGATGGTTTTGTAGATTTAATGAAGTATACACAATACAGACTAGATATGAAATATGCAAATTGTCAAGAATAACATGAAGGAAACGTTGATTTCAAGATACATTGTTAAAATGCTAGGCTAAAGTGAGCTAAGCAAGACCTTTGTCTATGAATGGATTGGTATAGGCTGAGGCCTGCATGTGTTCAGCCTTGGTAAGAGAAGTATTCTTTGAAGTATAGGTTTTAATAAAGCCAACAGCTGTGTGTATCAAGAGAGCAGATCATACAACCAGAATAGCCTTTGGTGAATAGCAGTCCTTGGGTCTTGATGGTGTTGGATGGAGGCTTCTTGTCCACGGGGCCTGGACCATGCGGCTGCATCATGTGGCTGAACCAAGTCCTCCCACGATCCACAGTCTAGGTGCCAAAACTTCTTCAGGTTGAAGCTGGAGGCTATTGAAGGGTTGTGGAAGTCCTCTCAAACGTGGAGCTGAGGTTTGAGGCCATCTAAGAGGCCCAAAGCCCCTTGGTTGCCTGAGCACAGCCCAGGGCAGAGCCCAGGGAGGTCTGGTCACTCCGTGGTTCCAAAGCAGACTAGTTTTTCTTCCCTGTGGGTCCTTGTAAGTCTTCACATCTTGTAGAGTCGTTGGGGGAAGGGTGTTGCTATGGCACTTATCTTAAGACATTCTTACCCACAATAAAACCTGAACCACAAGGATTTACACACAGTGGAGACAGAAGTTATAATATGTCTCAATATACAACAAAATGTCTTTGATTGAGGAAAGAGGTCATTTTAATTTATCCTACACTCTGTATCATGTCATTCTAAATGTGGTGATGCAATATCAAATTTGGTATGCTGTATATCGCCATGATAATTGTAGTCATGCCACTGTTATGGTGACAAACCAACTTTGTGGTAACGCTAGGTTTCATCCTTGGAGACCAAAGAGTCACCTACTTGGCTATTCTTCTTTTTCAACCACAAACTTAACAATGTGCATAAACAAACATAAACAAGAATGTGCGTGACGTCAAAATGCCTCATGCTATCCTGTCTCTAAAATGTGACAGTGGCACCAAAACTGAAAATGATAGAGAAAATATTTAACATATATTTTTTTAAAGGTGTCAACATTGAAGGTGCTTGCCAAGATAATGTTACATGTTCTACATTTTTATGATCAAATTTCTATGGATTTAACTTTGATTTTTTTAACTTCTGGTTTATGAAGAATGTAAGATGTGCCCACTGTTTCAACTCTACAGAAGGAAACTAACATCAGTTTATACTAACAGCTTGTAATAACAATCTGTGGATTATGCACTTCTAAATATAGAATGATACTTTGCATAACAGTCTCAAATAGAGACTAAACTGTGAAGATAGTTTTCCTTATTTTTTGTTGCTGATTTGTGTGTTTTTAAATGAGATGTGTACACAATGTTCTGCACCAATCAGGATTCACCAGGTCACAGCTAAACATATACGTCTTTGCATGAGTTTGTTTGATTAAAACATTTCTGGATTGGGCGTGTGTGATCCTCCCTGTGTAACAGTTGACAAGTGCCCCTCCCACCATAAAACTATCTATCTATGACTCATTAATTTGACATGCATTTTTTACTTTTAGCTACCAACAAAACGGCTGCACTACCCTGTGTTATTGTGTGCATAAGAAATAACCCCCCTATTTGTGTTTCTCATTAGGATTCAAGTTCATCTTCCTCTTCCTCCAGCAGCTCCTCTGATAGTGACTCAGACAGTGAGGTAAATTCTGGTTTGCATAAAATGTTTTGAAATATGTAAAAAATTTATGCTTTCAAAGAAAACAGTTTTAGCTTTAAAAACGGCACAATTTGATATCTTTAATATGGTTTAAAGTGAAGGACAGTTACTTTTCGACATTTTCCACAGCTTCTTGATAGAATATTGAGGCCCCTCACCATTTGTTTTGGTGTTTTTCATAAATTATTCATGAAAAATACTTAATTGAAATGATACTAGAGTTTAATTGACGTTGCAGGTGGTACACTTTTTAGGACACTTTTGAAAATCATTGCTTTCTTTTTATTGCAATTACAAGCAGCCAAAATTTAATACAAAGTTTTTGAAATTTTATTTCTGCCGCCATGACTAAGCAGCTGTGATCCTGAAGCGCAAGACAGGGTTTGTCTGTCTGTTCGTACGTTTGCAGCAAAACTGAATAAGTTATTGGGAGAATGACAACATTGACAAGATTTGGAGGTGATCTCCTTCACCATCTGGGTCCAATGTGCCTCTTGGGTCTATGCTTTATGCTTGCTATTCCAGTTATTATTTAGCAGTACAAGAAGATTGAAGCTGAGATTTTGTTGTGAATATATGACACATATGACTCATTAGATTAGATGTGATTAAAAGTGTTTCATTCATCTATTTTTGCAATAATGTCCTGGCCTGACAGTGATCACAGGCCCCTCGTATTGGGTATAACTGAGAATGTTTCCTAATCATGAAGAAGCAAAGCTGTTCCCCTGCAGATCAACCTCCTGCCACAGTATTTAGTAGTTATTGTCCCCTTTGAACAAGTATCCACAATATACCTGTAACACGATAGTTAAAGGGAGTTAACAGTTTACCCCCAAACCTAGCAGCACCTGTGTCATCTTTTCTGCAGTTTTTATATGAGAATGGCCATAGAAGATGCTGGGTTTGAAGAGTCTTTCTGAGTGGAGTTTGCATGTTCTCCCCATGTCTGCATAGGTTTCATACAGGTGCTCTGGGTTACCCTACCTTTAAAAACATGGACAAAACTCCCCCCTCTCTGGGGCCATGGACTCCCCTGAAAAAAGAGATTCTGAAATCTCAGAGGAACTTTCCTGGTTCAATAAAGGGCAATAAATTATGGCTTTTAAAGGCTGTTTAGGGAATATTTAAAGGCATTTTGTTGTATAATGCGCCAGATTTTCATAAATGCATATGCTGATATTGCTCAAAGCTAGAGTAGACATTCACTGCAAGTCTACAAATCACACTTGGATATTTGCAGTTCATGTATTTGTAGAAATATGCTCCTTTGCTCACGGCCAATTCCCTATGACTGCCCTATCCGTTGTGTCTGTTTGCTAAAATCAGGTCTCACAGGTAAAACAGGTGACAAAGCACAATTTAGTTTTATAAGATAAACGTGTTGTTGAGGCCTTTTAACCACCTCTTACTGGTTCGACAGGACCAGCCCTTAGACATTCCTTTGTGCGTTCAGTTTGTTCTAATTGAGGGATTGTTTTACTGCAGGCAAAAGGCAGGTTTGATATCAGGAGCACACGCCCATTTTTACAACATTTCTGACACATGCTTTATCAACCACAAGTGTGCAGCAAGCACTGTATGCCGTTCATGGTATACTCATGTTTGTACATGTCAAGACTTATGTAACACAGCTGGTGATGGGACTTCATTCTCTGCTTTTAAGACCAATGGAAGTGTATTGCGTGCTTGCCTTTACCTTTTTACTCTCACACCTTGATTGCACCTTGAACCAAAGCAGTTTCCTGTTTTGTGGCTTCCTGTTAGGCAATACAACAATTCTGATTTTTAATTTAATTTTTGCTTTTCCTCCCCATCCTCCAGTTATTTAGTTCTATGTTTCAATCAATCCAGCACTTTTCATAGAATATTGTGACATAAATTACAACCAATCTTTAACATGTGATTATGATCAATATTTGGTTAAACATCTATAAAAGTACTGATCTTTGTTATAAGATATTTTATTTCTATTGCTAAATCTGTTGGCTAATTGATAATCTCAATTGTACTAAATATAAAATATCATTCAATTTTTTTTATTTTTTTTATTTTAGTTTATAATTTTTAGGAACAAAAATAAACACACCGGGGTAAAAACCATAATAAAATATGAAATTCTTTATAAACAAAAAAGAAGCTACAGTAAAACAGTAGTCCACAACGGCTAAAAGGTTCTGACTTATGTTGCAGGATGACAAGAAAAAGAAGAAGAAGAAGAAGAAAAAGGACAAGGGCAGCGATGAAGAACCAGAATACGTTTGGGAAATGGTCATCATAACCCAGAACGGTGAAAGAGAGTTTATCAAAGCCTCTTGTTACAGTATATGATACAGTATGACATCATCTCTGTGAGTGCATTATGATATTGTGTTTGTGCTTACAATGCACTGAATTAGTTCATATTTCTGAAGTTGACCCATCAACCTCTCAGTTATGAATGAGGCTTATATTATATAACACAAATACACAAAGCAATTTTGGATTTTGTCAATTACAACCTCGGAATTTCCTATAGTTTTTCACACTTAAATTTGATTAATTCTACAACAGTGATTTTGTTTTTCTAGCACTTCCATAATCCACAGTCTTACTGCTAATTTACACATGAGGCGTTACAGCACGTACGCGCAGCAGACGCACGTAACTTTTTTCCATGTTAACCTATGATGATATTTACACTTCTAGCGTTATACGCGCGTATGACGGACGTATGACGCGAAGCTGCGCTCTAATTTAGGATGGATTTCTAATTTTGTGCGCGCACCAACGCGTCTCCCATTGAAATCTCATGTAAAACATGATTTTTCTAGCGGTGCTTGGCTCTAGATCGCATCTACACGCACACACTGCACTTGTGTCTAAACATCAGCAGGAGGAGCAGCAGGTTTTATAGTGATTCTGGACATCGTTTTTTTTCTTTCATAAAGTCTCGCGTCTGGCCAAACCAGTGCACAGAGACCATGTGATTTGTGTTGCTCTACATCAGTCCTCTGGCCCGTACTGTCCTCTACACTGCTCCATAGACTACACAGGGACAGCATCAGAAGACGCGGACCTGCGCGCACGGCCTGTGTAGATACTCCAAAAAAATGTTACGCGCAGAGAGCGCGCAGTAAACGCGTACGCGCTGTTTACGCCTACTGTGTAAATTCCCTGTTATAGTGCTAACTAATCTTCTGAAAGGGGATTCATGAATTTCATGATGTTGAATTCTAATATAAATATGTTGTATTGATTGCAGGGGAGAGGATTGTACATCAACCCATAAGGGTGAGTCTATTCACTTTTCAAGTAAATGTAAATTGGAATATTTGTAAATGTTTGTAAATATTTCCCTTACCTTTACCCAATATTCAAAAACAATTGTTTTATAGAGACTTAAAGAGAAAAAGGATAAGAAGAAAAAGAAGGACAAGAAAAAAAAAGATAAGAAGAAAAAGAAGAAGAAGGTAAGTTTGCTTTAGCGTTAGCTCAAGATATATAACATCCAATAGATCCATGATAATATCATTATTTTATCCAGGATTCTAGCTCCTCCTCCTCTTCATCTTCTGAAAGTTCATCTGACAGTGAGGACAAGAAGAAGAAGAAGAAAAAGAAAACAAAGAAGAAGGTAATATTATAATTATAATAGTATACATAGAAAACTCCCAGTTTGAGTTTGAAGGAGGCATCTCAGAGCAATCTCTACACAGAGGAGCAACTGCTCCACTCAGAGCTCAGATATTTTAACTTCTCCAAATATCATTATATAAATGAATGATAATACTGAAAATGTTACATAAAGTTACTATATTCTAATAACAGTCTAATAACATGCACGCTAATATCAGTACAAACTCACTCGTGCCCTCAAACAATTCTCTAATCTGAATCTGTCCTAAAGTTGGAGATGGATTTAGTGGATTCATTTATGGATGGATGAAAATAAACATGGCTATTATTAGCATGGCTTTTAGTCCAACAAGGATTTATCATCTGAACAATATTTATTACAACTTTATATATTAACATGTAAAAAAGTCATACAAAACTTGGACACACAATGACAAAGATTGACAAAGATTGTATTCAGTGGATTCAAGTATTTACTGAACTGAATTCAATGTTTCTTTTCTTTTTTTCCCAGGACTCAAGCTCCTCTTCCTCTTCTGACTCATCTTCCTCAAGCAGTGATGATGATAAGAAGAAAAAGAAGAAAAAGGACAAAAAGAAGAAGAAGAAGAAGCAAAAGGACAAGAAAAAGGTAAATATTGTCTTGGTCACTGTAAGGGTTTCAGTTTGATGGGGAAAAGAACCTGACAGTAATATCAGATGCAATGTCATGTTCTTTAATGCTTCAGAAGTCACATTTTTCTTAACAAAAAATAGGTTTGTGAGGATATTTGTACGGTTTGATAACGGAATGGTAACAATTTATCTATATCTCTATATTCATGAAAAAACAATGCTAGTGTTTACCATACAACACATAGAGAAACCCTTATAATAATTCAAATTGAAAAAACTTTAACTTAGGACTCCGGCTCTTCATCATCTTCATCTGACAGTGAAAAGGACAAGAAGAAGAAGAAAGACAAGAAAAAGGTAAATCCAATGTTGTCTATTGTATTTTTATCATCCTTATCAAGCAACAATATCCTGATGTAATAAAACCTGAACACTACTTCTGCAAAGCTGTGTTGAAGAATATTGACATTTTTTCCATTTTCTTTTTAAATGTTTGTAAATATTGAATCAGAAATATTATCTTGATCTTTATATCGATCTACAAGCTTGTTTGCAAACCAGTGTCCCCCAACCTTTTTGAGCTGTGATACAATCATAGGGCACATCACCTGCTGAAACAGATACCATAAAAAATAAGTTATTCTCATCAAAGTGTGTTTCATTGAAAACTGATTTAGCCACATTAGTTTAGGTCATTTTATAATGTTCTCAAATTGTGTTAAAATGGGATATCTTTGATGATTTGAATGCATTTGTTATTCATATTTGTCATATATTTCAGGATGATAAGAAGGAGCCCAGTTCACCCACAACAGAAGGTGAGATTCTTCTCTCTTATATTATTATTATTATTATTATTATTATTATTATTATTATTATCATTATTATCATCATTATTACTAGTATCATTATTATTATTATTATTATTGTTATTATCATTATTACTAGTATCATTATTATTATTATTGTTATTATTATTGTGTTTATATTTTTTTTATTATTACTAGTATCATTATTATCATTATTACTAGTATCGTTATTATTATTATTATTATTACTAGTATCATTATTATTATTATCATTATTAATAGTATCATTATTATTATTATTATTATTATCATTATTACTAGTATCATTATTATTATTATTATTGTTATTATTATTATTTTTTTTTTATCTTTTTAAAAAAAATATTATTATTGTATGCCTTGAGCTGATATTGTGCAGTGCGGTCAAAGGAAAATTTACAATTTCCAGGCCCTTGAAAAGTTTTGGAATTGCATCAGCCCTGTCATGAAGCCACCTGTGCCATTCCCTTAGTGATAACACAAAGAATACATTACAGAAAAACATCTGAAGTTAATCAGTCTAATCAGGAAAATCTAATTCTTTTCCGTGTAAGAATCAGCCGACCACAACCGCTGATCCTGAAACTTTTAAACTTGCTATGCTAAATGTCAGATCTCTTTGTAACAAGTCTTTTTTAATCAATAATTTTATCCATCCATCCATCCATTTTCTTCCGCTTTATCCGTTGCCGGGTCGCGGGGGCAGCAGTTTAAGCAGAGACGCCCAGACTTCCCTATCCACACACACCTCCTCCAGCTCGTCCGGGGGGACCCCAAGGCGTTCCCAGGCCAGCTGAGAGACATAGTCTCTCCAGCGTGTCCTGGGTCTTCCCCGGGGCCTCCTCCCGGTGGGACGTGCCCGTAACACCTCCCCAGGGAGGCGTCCAGGAGGCATCCTGAACAGATGCCCGAGCCACCTCAACTGGTTCCTCTCGACGTGGAGAAGCATCGGCTCTACTCCGAGCTCCTCCCGTGTAACTGAGCTCCTCACCCTATCTCTAAGGGAGCGCCCAGCCACTCTGCGGAGGAAGCTCATTTCGACCGCTTGTATCCGCGATCTCGTTCTTTCGGTCATTACCCAAAGCTCATGACCATAGGTGAGGGAGGGAACGAAGATTGACCGGTAAATCGAGAGCTTTGCCTTTCGGCTCAGCTCCCTCTTTACCACAACGGTCCAATACAGCGACTGCGTCACTGCGCACGCTGCACCGATCCGCCTGTCAATCTCACGCTCCATTCTTCCCTCACTCGTGAACAAGACCCCGAGATACTTGAACTCCTCCACTTGAGGAAGGACCTCTCCACCCACCTGGAGAGGGCAAGGCACCTTTTTCCGGTCGAGCACCATGGCCTCGGATTTGGAGGTGTTGATTCTCATCCCAGCCGCTTCGCACTCGGCTGCAAACCGTCCCAGTGCATGCTGCAGGTCCTGGTTCGTTGGAGCCAACAGGACGACATCATCCGCAAAAAGTAGAGATGAAATCCTGTGGTTCCCAAACCGGACCCCCTCCGGCCCCTGGCTGCGCCTAGAAATTCTGTCCAAAAATACAGTGAACAGAACCGGTGACAAAGGGCAGCCTTGGCGGAGGCCAACATGCACCGGGAACAGGTCTGACTTACTGCCGGCAATGCGAACACAGCTCTGGCTCCGGTCATACAGGGACCAGACGGCCCTCAGCAGGGGACCCCGGACCCCGTACTCCCGGAGGACCCCCCAAAGGACACCCCGGGGAACACGGTCGAACGCCTTTTCCAAATCCACAAAGCACATGTGGACAGGTTGGGCGAACTCCCATGAACCCTCGAGTATCCGATGGAGAGTATAGAGCTGGTCCAGTGTTCCGCGACCGGGACAAAAACCACACTGCTCCTCCTGAATCCGAGATTCGACCATCGGACGTAGCCTCCTCTCCAGTACCTTGGAGTAGACCTTACCGGGGAGGCTGAGGAGTGTGATCCCACGATAATTGGAACACACCCTCCGGTCCCCCTTCTTGTAGAGAGGGACCACCACCCCGGTCTGCCACTCCATTGGCACCGCCCCTGATCGCCACGCGATGTTGCATAGACGTGTCAGCCAAGACAGTCCTACAACATCCAGAGACTTTAGATAGTCAGGACGGGTCTCATCCACTCCCGGCGCCTTGCCACCATGGAGGCTGCCAACCACCTTGGTGACCTCGGCCAGGGAGATGGAAGTGTCCGCCCCAACATCCTCAGCCTCTGCCTCCTGAACGGAGGACGTGACGGGGGGATTGAGGAGAACCTCGAAGTATTCCTTCCACCGCCCGACAATACTCAGTCGAGGTCAGCAGCCCTCCACCCGCACCATACACCGTGTTGGCAAAGAACTGCTTCCCCCTCCTGAGGCGCCGGACGGTTTGCCAGAACCTCTTCGAGGCCGACCGATAGTCATGCTCCATGGACTCTCCGAACTCGTCCCAGTCCCGGGTTTTTGCCTCTGCAACAGCCCGGGCCGCGGCACGTTTGGCCTGCCGGTACTGGACAGCTGCCTCAGGAGTCCCACGAACCATCATTGCTCGATAGGACTCCTTCTTCAGCCTGACGGCATCCCTTACTGCCGGTGTCCACCACCGGGTTCGGGGATTGCCGCCGGGACCAGCACCAGAGACCTTGCGACCACAGCTACGAGCCGCCGCATTGGCGATAGAGGAAGAGAACATGGTCCACTCGGACTCGATGTCCCCCTCCTCCGCCGGGACCTGGGAGAAGCTCTCCCGGAGGTGTGAGTTGAAAGTCCGTCTGACAGGGGGCTCCGCGAGACGTTCCCAGCAAACCCTCACTATACGCTTGGGTCTGCCAGGTCTGACCGGCTTCTTCCCCTGCCAGCGGATCCAACTCACGACCAGGTGATGATCGGTTGACAGCTCCGCCCCTCTCTTTACCCGAGTGTCCGAGACACGCGGTCGAAGGTCAGATGATACGACAACAAAGTCGATCATCGACCTCTGGCCTAGGGTGTCCTGGTGCCACGTGCACTGGTGGACACCCTTGTGCTCGAACATGGTGTTCGTGATGGACAGGCCGTGACTGGCACAGAAGTCCAACAACTGAACACCGCTCGGGTTCAGATCAGGGGGGCCGCTCTTCCCGATCACCCCTCTCCAAGTGTCACTGGCATTCCCCACATGGGCGTTGAAGTCCCCCAGGAGAATAACGGAGTCCCCGGGCGGTGCACTGTCCAGTACCCCTCCCAAGGACTCCAAGAAGGCCGGGTACTCTGCACTACCGTTAGGCCCGTAGGCCGTCACAACAGTGAGAGACTTGTCCCCCACCCGGAGGCGGAGGGACGCGACCCTCTCATTCACCGGGGAGAACTCCAACACGTGGCGGCTGAGATGGGGGGCAATGAGAATGGCCACCCCAGCTCGCCGCCTCTCCCCGCGGGAAACACCAGAAAAGTGGAACGTCCAACCCCTCTCAAGGAGTTGGGTTCCAGAGTCCAAGCTGTGTGTGGAGGTGAGGCCGACTATCTCTAGTCGGTATCGCTCAACCTCCCCCACAAGCTCGGGCTCCTTCCCCCCCAGTGAGGTGACGTTCCACGTCCCAACAGCCAGATGTTGGGTGTGTGGACTGGGTCGTCGAGGTCTCCGCCTTCGACCGCTGCCCAGTCCTCGCTGCACCACGCCACCACGGACCCCTCTGCAGGTGGTGGGCCCACAGGAGGGACTGCCCACGTCATCCCTTCGGGCTGAGCCCGGCCGGGCCCCGTGGGCTAAGGCCCGGCCACCAGGCGCTCGCTTGCGAGCCCCGACCCCAGGCCTGGCTCCAGGGTGGGGCCCCGGCTGCGCCATGCCGGGCGACGTCACGGTTTTTGTTGTCGTGCTGTCCATGGTTGGCTTCGGACTGCGCTTCGTCTGACTCGTCACTTGAGACCTGTCTGCCATGGGAGGCCCTACCAGGGGCATGAAGCCCCAGACAGCATAGCTCCCAGGATCATCCGAGTGCTCAAACTCCCCCACCACGTTAAGGTGGCAGTCCAAGGGGGAGCAATAATTTTATTTGTTCTTATAATCTAGATCTTATGTTCATGGCTGAAACATGGCTTGACCAAAATACAGAAAATGCAGTTTTAATAGAAGCATCACCACCAAATTTCAAATTTGAATCTGAAATACGGGAAAACAAAAAAGGAGGAGGCTTAGCTGCCATTTTCAGAGACCACTTTGTCTCCCATAGAATGTCTCTTGGGAAGTTTCCGTCTTTTGAATATGTGTCTTTTAAAATACAACAAAAACAATCTCCTCCAATACTTTTTGTTCAAGCCACCGCAGTCATGTCACAGTTTTATTGATAATTTTACAGAGTTGCTTTCAGTTGTATGCACAGATTTTGATAGTTTAGTTATTACAGGTGATTTTAATATTCATGTGGATAATGTTGATGACAGAAATGCTAAAGAGCTGAGTTCTCTTCTTGAATCTTTTGGTCTCACTCAGCATGTGAGTGGCCCCACCCACAGCAGAGGGCACACTCTAGACCTGTTAGTTACAAAGGGGGCGAACATTTATAATGTAAACGTGGTCGATGTTGCGCTTTCGGATCATTTTTGTATATTTTTTGACATGTGTTTCACTAACAAACCACCAGTGGACTCTGCAACTGTACGAAGAAGACACATAAATGAAAATACGGGTGAACTATTTATGGGAATGATAAACTTTGAGAATGCATCGTATTCTACTGTAGATGAACTGTTTAACTCCTGTGAAGGTTAAAATAGTGAAAAATAAGCAGAAGGCGCCGTGGGCTAAAGCAGACTCGGTCAGGGCACAAAAGAGAGAGTGCCGGAGGGCCGAGCGGAAGTGGCGCAAGTCCAACCTCCAGATTGATTACGAGATCTTCAAAGATAAGTTGTGCGAGTTTAACCAGGTGCTACGTAGTACGAGAGAAAGGTATTTTTCTGAAATGATTGAAGGCTGCAGCAACAATCTGCGTGTTCTGTTTTCAACAGTTAATAGATTAACAAACCCCCCTGTTCAAATGCCATTAGAGCTAACTTCCAAATGTAAATGTAATGAGTTTGCACATTTTTTCAATGACAAGGTTCAAGGCATCAAAAACGCCATTGTCTCCAATCCACAGATAACAATCCAACAGCCAGAAAGGCTCTTTGAGCTAACTTACTTTGCACCTGTAAATGATCAAACTGTCCAAGAGATAATCTCCAGTTTGAGCTCCTCCACATGCAGCCCGGATGTACTACCCACTAGATTTCTAACGTCTGTTCTGAGCAGTCTGTTACCTTCACTCACACAGAAAGTAAACATGTCCCTTGATTCTGGAATATTCCCAAAGGCCCTGAAAACTGCAGTCATCAGGCCCCTGCTAAAAAAGAGCAGTCTGGATGCTACGGTACTTAACAACTATCGTCCCATCTCAAATCTGCCATTTATGGGGAAAGTCCTTGAAAAAGTTGTCTACCTACAGCTTACTAGATTTCTTATAATCAACAACTCATTTGATATGTTTCAGTCCGGCTTTAAACCCCACCACAGCACTGAGACTGCTCTCGTTAAGGTTACAAACGATATCCGGCTGAACACTGACGCAGGCAAAGTCTCAATCCTAATCCTGTTAGATCTAAGTGCTGCCTTTGACACTGTCGACCATGAGATCCTCTTACAGAGACTAGAGGACTGGGTTGGCGTCGCTGGCACCGCCCTAAGTTGGTTTAGGTCTTACCTTGAAGACAGGAAGTACTTTGTGGAGATTGGAAACTGTGTCTCAGATCATATGGCCCTGACCTGTGGGGTCCCACAGGGGTCGATCCTGGGACCTCTTCTGTTCAATCTCTACATGCTGCCGTTAGGTCAGTTAATACGCAGAAACAAAGTGTCCTATCATAACTATGCAGACGACACTCAGATCTATGTCTCACTGACTGCAGGAGAACATGGACCAGTGGACTCACTCCTTCACTGTATCCAACAGATCAGTGAGTGGATGCAAAACAACTTCCTTCAGCTAAACGCAGACAAAACTGAAATGATTGTCTTTGGTCCCCAGAAACAAAGAGAGAGCGTCATCTGTCATCTACAGTCTCTCTCCCTAAAACCTTCAAACAAGGTCAGAAATCTAGGGGTAATACTGGACTCAGACTTAAATTTTAATAGCCACATCAAATCAGTAACATCAGCAGCTTTTTACCATCTAAAAAACATTGCCAGGATCAAAAACATAGTGTCTAAAGCAGACCTGGAGATTCTTATCCATGCATTTGTCTCCAGTAGGTTAGACTACTGCAATGGCCTGCTCACAGGTCTGTCCAAACAGGCTGTAAAACATTCAAAATGCAGCAGCTCGAGTCCTGACTAGAACCAGGAAGTACGACCACATTAGTCCAGTCCTCAGGTCTCTGCACTGGCTTCCTGTGGCTCAGAGAATAGACTTTAAAACAGCTCTGCTTGTTACAAGTCTCTCCATGGCCTCGCACCAAACTATATTAGTGACATGTTAGTCCCATATGAACCAGCCCGGACTCTGAGGATCACAGGGACTGGACTCCTGTTAGTGCCCAGAGTCAGAACTAAACATGGGGAGGCTGCTTTTCAGATTCATGCTGCTAAAATCTGGAACAATCTTCCTGAAGATGTGAGACAGGCCTCCTCTCTGACAATGTTTAAAACCAGGTTAAAAACGGTGCTGTTTAGCTGTGCATACAACTGAGGGATTTTATATTTTTATCTTTCGTTTTAATGTTCTGTAATTATTTATGATTTTAATGCTATCTTGTTCAGCACTTTGAGTTGCCTTGTGTATGAATTGTGCTATACAAATAAACTTGCCTTGCCTTGGATATGTTTGTAATAATATAATTGTGACTATACCTCATAACTCATTAGTTCTGCTTTAAACTGGAAGATAATGCACTCCCCTACCTTACGAACTAAGCCAAAAGTAGCTTGTAATTTTATTTATATTGATTCAAATTGTGATTTATTTGTTTGACTAAAAATGAAAAACAAAATTATGGAAAACCTTAAACCTAAATCTTGGTGTTTATTACCCGTATGTTTAAACTTAATTTCTTCTAGGTCATCTACATATCTTTAATAGCAAAAAATATATTATAAGTTTAATAATAATATGTTTTGAATAATTCCTGTTATGTTTTATGTTCGGAAAATAATTCTTGTTATGTTCAGATGGTGATAATCCTGGGTCCAATAAATACATGTATGAAGTTTGTGACAAGGTAAAATTCACTCTTTTTGATGCCACTTTAAAAAACATATTCTACCAAAGATGATAATGTTGTCGTCACACAGACTGCTGCTGCGCTGGAGGCAGAGGGAGAATTTGACGAGGGAGTGGCCGGTATGTAAGCAGCAGGTCAAAAATGTCAATGATGTGAATATATGAGTTTTTGTCAGTAATTATCTGTGACACGGTACAGATCGAGCAATTCCCTTCACTTCAGCTATGGACAAAGGAAACCTCACAGACGACGAGGCCGAACAAGAAAATTCCCCTTTGTCCCCTTCCAAAAAAAAGAAGCTAACGAAAAAAAAGAAGAAAAAGGTACATTAAAGCTTAGGTACCTAACTTTGAAACTAGCAAAGTGGAACTATGTAATAAAAATCCATCTGGTCCCTGTGTCTCAAAACACTTTTCACATGCATGTTTTTGTGGACCACACCCACTCGGCCAATCAGCTACTTGGACCAACGCGTCAAATAGGAACAGGTACAGGTCAGATCTGTAGAAGCTAATTTGCAAAAGCTATTTAGTTCCAAAATGATAGAAAGATAAATTAAAGATTAGTTTTAATTCCAGACTGGAACATTAGAGCTGAGGCAATACTATTCACGCCATAATTATTATCTTCATTATTATCTTCATTATTATCAGGTTTTCCAATGTCGTTTTTAATATTTTAAACATGTACTATAAACTATTTAACCATAAACTTCATTGCAGGACTCTGACTCTGGTTCAGACAGTGACGATGAGGATGACAAGAAAAAGAAGAAGAAGAAGAAGAAAAAGAAAAAGGTAAAAACAAAACACTAATACAAATGGAACACTTAAGTCTGTTCAGCTTTAAAATATCTATACACAATGGAATATAGCCCTAGAACAGATAAAAGTGACAGATTGTCTTTTTTGAACCACAGGATTCCAGCTCATCTTCATCTTCATCATCATCCTCATCCTCAGACAGCGATGACGACAAGAAGAAGAAGAAGAAGAAGAAGAAAAATAAGAAAGTAAAAAAGAAGAAGGTAAAGCATTGATTGTTGTCTGTATGCAGATGAGAGAAAAGAGAGTAATGAGAAATAGTTTTATGGTCAGAGATTGTTTGGGCCTGTATCTTAAAGTATGTGCGTGTGTGTGTGTGCGTGTGTGTGTGTGCGTGTGTGCGTGTGTAGGTGTGTGTGTGTGTGTGTGTCGTTTGGAGTTTAATCTCTGAACTACATGGACAATTGTACAGATTATAAGAGCAATACACAACTATGAATGCCAGTACAGATTTGTAACTAGGAGTGTGATGATAAGTAAGTAAGTAAGTAAGTAATCTTTATTTATATACCGCCTTTCACAGACCAGAGTCACAAAGCGGTTTACAATGGTAATTTTTGGGCACTTGTCTCTCACTCCACACAGAGATGGGAGCGGGGTCGCCGAACAGGAGGCGCATGCCAGACCTATTGGACATATTTTTAGTGGTAGGGGAAACCGGAGTACCCGGAGGAAACCTACGCAGACACTGGGAGAACATGCAAACTCCACTCAGAAAGGCCCTTGTCCGGCCGGGATTCAAACCAAGGACCTTCTTGCTGAGAGGCGAGAGTGCTATCCACTCAGCCACCGTGCCGCCCCATATTGTGATACTTTCTCCCGTGGTCGATCATCGATATGCATTTGCCAAGTATCGATTTTGAAAATAAATAAATAAATAGTTTCAATTTTTTAAAATATTTTTTATTAGTATCAATACTTAATATATGACTGTATTACGCATCTCCATTCCATTTATCATGAAATAAAGTGTATTTTCTTTTATTTATGACATAAATTGGCATATGGTATATTGCTGACCAATGTATCGATAATCGTCATATCGTGATATAATCGTTATCGTGAGCTTTGTATCGCGTATCGTATTGTATCTTGAGGTTCCCACCCCAATTTGTAACAGTATTTTGTAAATAGTTTTTATTTTAATTCAAAGCCTTTTTTTCAGGACTCAAGCAGCTCCTCCTCTTCTTCCTCCTCTTCAGACAGCGACAGTGACGATGATAAGGTAAGAAAGATATCGTCAGTTACATTGAAAATATAATTTAAATCTTTTAGGCCCTCTCTCGATGGTTTAATTGTTATCCTCCAACAAATCTTACTTGTGGTGGTCATGCCAAAGGGAGGAACTATTTCAAATTCGTAGTTGTTGAAAAATACTTTCTGTAAAGTGTCCCAAAATTTAAGTCACTGACACGACCTTTAAGGTTATTTGTGCTTGGTTCAATTCAAGTCTTCATTGTCTGTTTTTTTATCAAAGAAGAAGAAGAAAAAGAAAGATAAGAAAAAGAAGAAGAAGAAGGACAAGAAAAAGAAGGCAAGGAAATCTACAGAAACATGATTCAAGACCAAGAAATGTTCCCACACGTGTAACACCACTGTTCTGTGCAGGATTCAGACTCGGCCAGTGATTCTAGTGACGGCGAGAAAAAGAAGAAGAAGGACAAGAAGAAGGTCAGTAATTTTGTCGAGAAAACTTCTGTCAATTATTTTTCCTGCATAACATTTAGGTCCACTCTGAAAGCCTGGATTAATATCAATCAATCAATCAATCAATCAAAGTTTATTTGTAGAGCGCCTTTCATACACAGGGCAACACAAAGCGCTTCACAGTCCACATCACAAATCATCACATAAAACAAACACCAGAATCACAATTAAAACATTAAAATCACACAAAAGATTAAAACACAATTAAAACATTAAAATCACACAAAAGAATAAAATCTAATATATATCTTATTTATATTGTAAATATTACCTTTTCTCCAGGATTCTTCATCGTCCAGTGACTCAAGTGATGACGACAAGAAGAAAAAGAAGAAAAAGGACAAGAAGAAGAAGAAGGTGTTTGTGCAGTTTTTTCATGTAAATTATATGTGCTAAAGACCAATTACCAAAATCTCTCTTTAAACACTTGTAGGATTCCTCTTCGTCAGCTTCATCCTCCTCCAGTGACTCTAGTGACAATGACAAGAAGAAAAAGAAGAAAAAGGACAAGAAGAAGAAGAAAGATAAGAAAAAGGTCTGTTCTGCTTGACAATAAATTATTAGATTCTCCTTCATGAAGTATGAAGTGAGCGCGTTATTGTTCGTCAAAATCAATCTGTTTAATTTTTGGTTTAGGATTCTTCTTCTGAATCTTCATCATCGTCGTCCTCGTCCAGTGACTCTAGCGACGATGAGAAGAAGAAGAAAAAGAAGAAGAAAAAGGACAAAAAGAAGAAGGACAAGAAAAAGGTGATTTCTTTTGGTATATTTCTAGTTACGGTCTGAAGATATCCTCGTCATAACCACATCACACCTGTTTAGGATTCTTCATCGTCCTCGGCGAGTGATTCCAGTGAGGACGAGAAGAAAAAGAAGAAGAAAAAGGACAAGAAGAAGAAGAAAAAGAAAGATAAGAAAAAGGTATGTTATTTTTAACTTTGTTTTTTCTGCAATTTTGTTTCTGAATCTGTGATCATCCGGCAGCGTAGCAGATGGCTTTTTACTCAAAGCGGGAAAACATCCTGATCACAAACTTAATGTGTGGACTGAATACAGAAATGTGCAGATTTGTCTCTTCTATTACTTTGATTTTAATCCGAATTCAGATTTCAAATGTAATTATAGGTTATCAATATATAAGGCTGTTGAGACTGTTTCTGATTATTACTATTGTTATCTTTTTGAATTATACATTTTTTTTTTTTTTTTTTGCTGCCACTGGAAACTTTAATTTCTCCTACGGGGATCAATAAAGTATCTATCTATCAATCTATCTATCTATATATGATGTAGCTGGAAAACAGCCTTCACTCTCTACAAACCCTGTACCTAAATAAGGTAAATTGATTGAATACATCTCTTTTCAGGATTCTTCTTCTGAATCTTCCTCATCGTCATCCTCGTCCAGTGACTCTAGCGATGATGAGAAGAAGAAGAAAAAGAAGAAAAAGGACAAAAAGAAGAAGCACAAGAAAAAGGTGATTTTTTTTGGTTGTATTTCCGCTGAGCGTTGAAGGAGTAGACTAACCAAATGCTTAAATTTGTGGGTAGCAACAACCTAGCAACCAAAGAGCCAATCAGGCTGCTGTTTCCGTTTGTGCTACTCGCTAGCTCAAGTCAAATTCAGGGACAGAATACATCTGATTGGTCAGCTGTCAGGGCTCACATCTTTACTTTCAATTTACTTTTTTAAGTGTGGAGTGAATGGAATCCGAATTCTGAACATTGTAAAGTGCTTTGGGTGACCTTGGTCTGTAAAATGTGCTATATAAATAAATATTACTTACTTACTTCCTTCATTAGCAGTACTCTTGGGCTTTAAAGAGTTGTATTAGCTTAGCGTTGTCCATTCCTCAATACAGTCTGTAGGTATTTTTTTATGTGTAAATGTTCAAAACCTTATCTCTGTGAACCACTTTTAGGATTCTTCTTCATCCTCTTCCTCTTCAAGTGACTCCAGTGATGACGAGAAGAAAAAGAAGAAGAAGAAAAAGGACAAGAAGAAGAAGAAAAAGAAAGATAAGAAGAAGGTATTCAGACTCACAGATTAAAATGAAATGAAAGTAAATATTTGGTTGTAAATCATTTAATAACAACATAACCCGTAATAAGTTTCTCTATCAGCTGCTGGTCTCTTAGTGTCATTGTTAAACGTATGCATTGAAGCGTGTATGAGAAATGTTTTTACGGTTCCAGGATTCTTCATCGTCCTCCTCCAGTAATTCTAGTGACAACGACAAAAAAAAGAAGAAAAAGGACAAGAAAAAGGTCAGTATACATAGAGGACTGTGATTGATGCAAATATAACACTTTTAGGATTTTTTTTTTAGGATTCTGACTCCTCTGGTAGTGACAACGACAAGAAGAAAAAGAAAAAGGACAAAAAGAAGGTAAGTTTTGACATTTAGATGAATTTATCAAAACTTTACCTTTATCTGGATTGAAGTTAAAAAAGTATAACATGTTACCTCTAGTTTCCAATGACACTGATTTCATTTCTCTTTAAACAGGATTCAAGTTCTGCAAACGAAAGTGACAGTGACAAAGAAAACAAAGAGGACAAGAAAAAGGACAAGGTTCGTTGGGAAATTCAAATTTGATCAAAATCACATTCATGATAAATGTTCTAAAGATGCTTCTGTGTTTAACCCAGAGCTGTGGCTCCAGCTGTGAGACTGAGAAGAAGACTGTGAGTTTGGGCATTCTAAAGTGAACTGTTTACATTTGCAAGAGTTTAAAGTTTTTTTTTTTTTTACTTCTGTGTAACAACATATGCATTGTATTATATGAAATATTTCATTCTGATCCCAATATTTGTTCAAGCATGCTTTTTCAATAATGCCTTACATGGATTCACAATTACTTTAATCTTTTTTTTTTCTTAACATTGATATTGTTTTCTACATTTACTCAACCCTCAACTCCTGAAAAATCCCTACTCAGTGTCTAAACTCCTGTTAAATGCATATCGTACCTTCTTAGTTGTACTTGCAAAGCATCCAGTAAACTAACAGGGGTTTGTTGTGTGATCTTAAAAACAAGTCTTTAAAAGTAGCAAATGGGATGTATTTCAAAGATCTCGAAGCTGTCTTTAAAAAGCCTGCTACGGTAAAATAACATGAGCTTGTGTTGTGCTGACAGGAGAGCTCTCCAGGTGATAAACTGGCCGACCCCAAACTGGACTCTTCCTCCGGTGCCCTGTCGTCTCAGAGCAGCAGCAGTAGCAGCTCAAAGCCCACCGCCTCCTCCAGCACCTACAGCAGCTCCTTAACGCCCCTGCCTTCCAAACCTGTGGTCAAAATCGAGGCTCCCGTGGGCCCCTCCTCCACCATTGCATCCAAACCCTCCACCGTCACCTACACAGCGAGCTTCTCCAGCCCAGTGCGACGGCCCCCGAGCCCCATGGAGTCTCTGATGGGAAGTCCCCGCAGATCCACCTCGCATCTCACCAGCAGAGATTTGTTGAGAAAATATTAGCCGTGAGGGTTTCAGAATGGTCAGCAATTATAAATTGTGGCCATGGTGATGCACAATTTAAAGCAAAATGGGACATATTTTGGGAATAAGGTTAAACACAGGATTGAGATTAGAGATGGGCAATATTGAAAATCATTATTTCTTTGTATAATTAGGAAGCAACATTTTAGTAAGTTGTAAAAGCAAAAACAAAAAACATCCATTTGCTCAAAATCTGACAATAGCCAAATGTATATCTTGCCCACCGCTACTGAAATAAATTGTGATATTAAAATTTTAAGATGGATTCAAATGATATTTTTTGTTTCTGTCGTTAATTGTGTGATTTTGAGGAAATGCAGTTTTACACCAATGGAAAAAAGTAGGTAAATGGTGCAGACATGTAAAGGTATACTTTTTCCACAGAAATGATTTTACGAGGTGTCATACAAATAAAGTGACTATTTTAAAGGACCGGGATCTAATGAACTCGATTTTGAAGTGTTCAGGCGTCCAACTGCAGAGGGGAAGAAGATGAATGTACAATATGGTTTTAACCGGTTTTCAATTTTAAAAAAATGGAACCGCTCGCTGCCTTAAGTACAGGTAATGCCTACAAGATCAACATTAATATCATTCTGATAATACTGACAGAGAGCAACATTTTTGCATACTCATTTTTAATTGATAAATTCCATGCAAAACATCTGTGCGCTCTTGACTGAAATCCAGGTTCAATATCTGGAGATGGCGCACTGAAGGATTTGGTATAGAATACAACAATATTACTGCTATAAAAATATTAAAAGCCATAAGGGGAATGCAAACTGAACAGTGGACGTAACAAGGAAACCCCAACTATAGTTTTGAACTCTAATATTTGAAAATAAAGACAAAGCATATAGTTCTGGCCTAACAACAGGGATGGAAAAAAAAGAAAAAACATTAAGTGTGTGTTGCTAAATGGATGGAGTATTTTAATGATAACAAGAGCTGTTTTTTTTTTACAAAACAATTAGGTTTTTAAATAATTAAAATCAGAGCTACAAATAATGTTAGGATGTGTGGGTGATTGGTACATCTTCTCATGAAGGGAATAAAACATTTAAAATGTTTTTGTGTCGTCTTTTAGTTAACTAGATTAAAAAAAAAGTTTCACATAATTCAGTAATTATCAGAAATGTATCATGGAACTGTGCCTCTTGGAACAGGTTTTCATTCGTCAAGTTTCAATAGAATATAGGTCCTGTCTACCAGAAAATAATAGCTATTTTGTCATACAACAGCTCTCATTGGACAACGGGGTGGTCTTAAAATTGTATCTTTCCTGAAAGTAACAGTATGTGCTCAACACTTTACATTGTGTACCTGAATCCAGTCAGTAATATATCAATTAATCCATCAAATAAAATATAACGTGAGTCACTCCCTGTATTTCCTTCTAATGAATAATCTTGAAATTGTTTTCATGGTTTATCATAGGTTTCCACGCCATTATTATATTATAATACACCCATGGGAATATTCTCATGGATGTGTTATTGTACATCTGTGAGTATTCTCATGGATCTATTAATCCTATTACTAGTATTACTTTCTTGGATCTGAAGGACCTGCTTATTCTCCAACAACAGACATGTACTTCTCATACTATAACTCCATGTAATAGATCTATGGATCTAGATACATCCATGATCTAGATCCATGATCTATAATAATAGATCTATGGTACTTCCTCGTTGGCCGTGAATGGGCGGGGCCTGACGGATCACGTGGTGCAGGTGTGGTTTAGAAAAGTTAGTTCCTGCTGCGACATCAGCGGAAGTTCAGTTTTACTTCAGATACGGACGACATGGATCTATCAGACGGTAAGATTAGTTAGTTTTTCTAAAGTGTACAATTACGCCGTCCTCAAACGCATGTTTTGGACTGTAAATGATTGCATCTGGTTCCTTCTTCGTGCAGCTATGGGAGAAGATAAGGTGACGAAGTCGGATGGGCACAAGGATGAATTCAATTTTCCTTGGAGCAAAAAGAAGGTAAAGATAAATTAGAGTTAATTATACAAGCTGTTTTTATAAGATAATATATTAAGAGCTTTTTTGGTTATTGAATTTGCGTATTTGCATAGGCTCTAATTCTGAAACCTTTTGTTTTGTGATTTTACAGTAATATTTTAATGTAACTGGTTAAACTGTTGTTTCAGGATGGTGATAAAGACAAGGATAAGAAATCTGACAGCAAAGGCAAGGATAAGAAATCTGACAGCAAAGATGAGGATAAGAAATCTGACAGCAAAGACAAGGATAAGAAATCTCACAAGTCTGACAAGTCCGATAAAGATAAAGATGGGCACAAGAAGAAGGACAAGGATAAAAAAGAGCATAAGAAAAAGAAAGACGGGGGCAAATCCTCGTCATCATCCTCCAGTGACGAGGTATGAAATGAGTCCCTTACAAGTTTGTCTGTGAAAGAATTGTTGTTATAGAGGTCAAGTTAAGTACATCCAAGTAATCTCAAACGGTAAAGTAGGTGTCTGCTTAGACTCCTACACTATTGCATTGAACAAGTAAATACCCAGTGATGTCAATGTTATTCTATTATTATTCACGATAACATGTCATTAAAATGCTACTTTAACATTGAAAATTGTGAATATTAAGTTTTGCTGGGCCACTCGCACTTATTGTATAAATTCAAGCATGGGGTATGTCCTCAACATGGATGCATCCGGCAACGCAGCTCAAAATCAAATACAGCAATAATCTGGAATAGTAAACTAAAGTAATGCACAAAACCGGTGATTAGTCTTATTTTTCAGTATATAGTGCCGAGTCCATGCTGTGTCTGTAGATTGTATCTTCACCAAACTAATTTCAGTCGTCTTGTCTGGTAGCATACCTGTCACACCTGGTTCCTAGGCCGACAACTCTCAATCATTTATTGAAAGGGCTATGTGTTCAAACCAAACAAGAGTTACTCGTTCTTCCAGTTATGGCACACCTTGCCCTCTCTCTCACTTTCCATGAATAGTACCTTGAATAAATACCATACGGAAGCAAATGTTAACCATTTTGTGTTTGTGGATAAATAGCTATTTACTGCCTGTCACATGAACTAGCGCTCACCCTAAATTATATTGCTTCCAAATGTTTCTAGAACTATTTCCATAACTATTGTATTTTTTGTTTTTACCATTCATCAGTCCTTTAATTTAACATTTAATTACCTACACCCTCCCTTTCTTGTTGCAGTTGTAGCAGCAATGGTCATGTATGCAAATAAAATGTGCAAAACAGACTTCAGTATATGCATGAAAAAGCATAGGGCTTCAGTACAAGAACGTTTCTCAAGCATAGTTGCCTTCTAGTTCCTGTCGTTTGAACATTTTCCTCTCCTGGCCTGACTTTACTGCTAAATTTACTGCTCTTTCTTAATAATGAAATGAATGATTATGTGTTTTTGTAGGACTGAAGCTCTCCTGTTGGCCCATCTGCTCATCTAATCTATTATATTTATCACTACACTTAAGGGGAAGAAAATGAATGGATGGATGGTCTACACTTAAAGTAATTCGACTCCCCTGTACCATGGTGCCGTTCTTGATTGTATTGTACACATTGGTATCCGTGTAGATGGAGCTAATAAATGTTTCCAACTGTAGGGTGTATTTGCGTGGTGTTGGCACAAGATGGCAGCACATAATTCTTGCAAATACAGTGTGTTCTTACAATATAAATCGTTTTGGGGTTTTTGAAGCTAGAAATTTGAGCTAGAACTTTATTTTGCTCTGTGAAATGGTAAAAATCGGATTAATAAAGCTAGTAGCGGCAGATTTTATTTCTTCACATAGCGCATTTTTATGTGCCACAGTACAATTCAGGAACCAGAAAATGACGTGAAGCTCTCAAAATAACAAATCTTATGGAAAATACTTAACATGTAATCTTAATTTGCATACAATGTTAGTACACTATGCAGAGTACTGACGGTTATACATTATCCAAGGACGACATATTTTTTATGAGCCCATGTGCTATGAATTAGATCTGATCAAGTGCTGTCCACTTTCGATGAGGATTTTGCTTCTGTCCAGAGAGGAAAAAATGAGTGGTTTCAGGAAGAATCGATAATGAATCAAAAGGACATCTTTCTGAGCCTGAACTGAAATCCAATTCATCAGATGTCAAAATATGATATTAAACCTGTCATTACTTTACTAGTTTGCATTTTGTATCAAGTAGTTTTGGTTGTGTTGCCATGTCCCAATTAAAGGGGGAAAGTGTTGATTTAAAGTAAAGTATTTTATTGCTCAAAGATTTTAATATCACAATTTCACATTCTATTGCTTGTAAAAGAATCTCACACAATGTGTTTTCACAACTCTCAAACATTGTAAAGTTGGATCTGTTATTTTATAAGTAACTTAATTCTTGACCTAATTCTTAATGAAGGAGCATTATTAAAGCTACTTTCAGGCAAACTAATCCCATGTCATGTAGTATTTAGGACTTCCTTCCTAATAATGGAATGTTTTTATTATATCCGGTTCAGGAGGTTGACAGGATTAGGCTGGCGCTGCAGGTGAGCTCATGAGTTTTTTGTGTTTGACCTAAATTGTTCAATCATTCACAAATAGCAACCACTGTTTTTTGTCATATGTCATGTAACAAGGCTGTACATTACACATATGCACTTCACTTTGTTTTATTTAATTCTAACAAATGCAAATAGCAGATGGCATGCTGGTTTTCCATGTTTACACCATGGATCTACAGGGACACAGGGTACAGTAAACACATTAACAAAAAACAAATATGCATTCTAGGTAGGCTATACCAGGGGATCTATGTTCATTTCTACCTGCAGTCTCCATATAAATTATAATTAAAAAGCTTCAGCTCATACAGCGTTCAGTGCACAGGTGGAGAACATAGCCATCTGCAAAGACACCAAATTGGCCCAGCTTTCAAAATCTCTTTTATAAGCGTGAAAAGGTGAAGTGTAGGTGTGTTGGAAGCCCTCAAAATACACCTATAACTAGAGCTCCTTCTGTTGCAATGACGCACCAATGACATTTACATTTACAAATTATTCTAATGACTCAGTGCTATTATGGGCCTAATGCAGCAGCCCCTTTCACCCTGGATCAAACAGAGGCTTGAGCACAAGTATTATGTTTAGGGAAAGAAATCAGCCAATTTTCTAGACCTTATGTGGCAAATCTGGCTGTTAAGGGGATAATAGAAAGGCAGGATAAAATGGACACATCTTTTGTTCCCTCTTTGTTGAAGCCTGAATATTGTGCCTGGGTTTTGACAGCAGGGGGCGCACTTGTCACTACAGGTTGGCATCATTGGTCTCTCAGCAACAGCTCCTGAAGAAAGTCAAGAACCACAGACACTCGCTGATCCAAACGGAAGTACTGTACTTTAGAGAGGAAAAAGATTTAACAGCTCAGTATGTGAAGTTTAAATATAGCCCCATCTTTTAAGTGACACACCGTAACGTTCTTGTTATTGATTATCAAATATTATTTGTTAATTTCCATTGGAAATCAATAAATTGTGTCTAATCAGTGCAGAGGAAAGGTTGATTATTTTACCTTTTTTATGATAATAACGGGGGAACCACATCTTCTGTACATCAGTTCGTTATACAGTCTGTCTGTGTCAACAATATCAATACATTCTGTGAAAAGGCCATAATTTTAATGGTCAACTCGACATGGTAATAATCTTAATCGTTGCAGAAGAGCAAACTTAGACCTATAACAAATATGCACAAGCGATAAGCTTGTTTTACTTAAGCAAGCCTAGTTGTAAATATAGGCTACTTTTACTTTGTTACGCTAAGTCCTTGTGTTTTGGCCTCCATAAAAGCTTTTTTTTCCCTCTTGATTATTACATTCTAAAAGTAAAATATTGTGGACAAATCAAACCATAGCATGCCTGTTTTCATCTTATTGGAGCACATTTTATAAGTCTTGTATGACACTGGTGCTATGAGCATTGGGTGGCAGCTCTCATTGCCACCCCCCGACCCAGAAATGGACTAATAAAGGGGTTGAGAATGAATAAATAAATGAATGAATGTATGAAAGTGAACTTTGACTGACTGTCACTATTCCAGCAAAGAGGTGATTGGTCCTCTCTTACTTTTTATCTGAAAAAGCTGATGTGTCAGATGATGTGACAGAGACAAAAACGTGCATGTGAAACTAATATAAAAAAAAAAACTTTTTTAAGAGCGTGAAACTAGTTGCATTACCTTTATTACATAGTTCACATGTTATGTTTTGAAAGTATCTCAGCTTTAACATGTTCGCCTGATTTTCCTCGCTCCCCTTTTATTGTGAAATGTATGGACCGGAAGTGCCGCTGCCTCTCACACCGCGTTCTTGACGCTCTGGCTGCAGCAGCTCAGCAGAAGCATGGAGCGCAACAAGACGCGCTGGAGACAGTCGCCAAGAGCCCGCGGACCGTGCACCAGCGGACCGCACTGACCGCCCCACGGACCCCGGACATAACAGGTGGAAACATTCACGACAGCACACTTCTGCAGCGAGAGTGCGACTGCGACTGCGACAGCAGCCCGTCAGACTCCGGGTGGATGACTGTAGCGGCTTCTAACAATTTCCAGCGCTTTCATCGTGTTTTTGCATTTGGGAATATTCGCTGGAATGACTTGCTTTGATTTGCTGTTTGCTTTGATACCTCGTAACTGCTGCAAAAGACTGCCACTTTTGCTCAAGTGAACTATATACAGTGGACTCCAGAAAAGAGCGAGGCAAGTCGGCTCCACACGGGACGCGCGCAGTCTGAGCCATGGTGAAGTTTCACAACTCGGATCTATGGATAGCCTGGATGCTGCTTTTCTGCATGGGGGGTAAGTTTCCCGGCTTCCACTGTTTACAACTGTCTCCAAGAGCAGGAGAAACGTGCCTGGCAAGCTGTTGAATCACGTGGAAATAAATCACTACTACAATATGATCTGCATTTTGACAATAGCAGATGCGGTGGGAATTAAACTGTGCCACGCGGGAGCTCGTGCACAGCCATTTGATCCATCTTCTTATTACAGTATGTTTGGATTTCGCTGACAAATCCCCTTGCTTGTCCATACAAATACAAACTGAAGACTTGGGCTGACTTTTCCCACTGATTACCCCCCTCTATTATTCCTAATGATTCAAAAAACAAAAAAAAAAACGCGCTGCTTTCTTGAACGAGATTGGCCAAATAGTGCGCGCTTGGTTCGCTTTTACGCAGCGTTGGTGGGAGTGCTTTTGAAATAGAATCTGAGCAGACGGCAGAGGGCTGCGCTGGTAATCCGCCCGATTAACGAGAAGCGAAGCATGGGGAGCAGACAGTAGCAGCAGGTGGATCTCCGAGCAGGGAAATCGCTATATGCATTTCCATATGATCCCACCGGGAATTAGACGTGGCGGAATAATGCTGGATGTTGCGTGCATTGTTTGGCCATATACTTATAGGTTTGCTTGTCCTTATCTTACTTTTGAGTGCAGCCGTTGTGATTATGTCTCTGGTAATCCCCCTATATCCTCTAAAGAACAAGTAGTAGGCATGCAGCGTGACTGGAGTGACTTCAGTAAGTTGGCCGTGCACTGCAAAAATGTATTTGAAATTACTGGGACGAGTGCTGTTGTTGTTTCAGTAGTTCTGCCTATACTTTTCAATACTCAATACTTTTTAAATTAAGAAAGTATTGCAATATTCTTGGTCTCATAAATACATATTGTAGAGAAAATAAAAAAAATATATAAAGATTTTTAACAGTAGCAGCATAGCAGAAAGTAGCAGAAAGTACATATTTGAGTGCTGGAGGGGGTTGCAGCTAACACAAACACATGTTGAATGTCTGAAATAAAAAAATACTTTTGAAATGGCCGGTAATATTATGTTGACTGAATAATGTTTTATTTCTTAGATTTGTTGTTGCCTATTATAGTTGTTGTTTATTTTATGATACACAAGACTGTCAGACATTCATACAAAATGCTCCTTCATAAATTATCAGCAGAAAAAAAACTCTTATATAGTATCACAATCATAGCTGTTTTTTATAATTATTATGAAACTCAGTGAATAAATATTGCCAATATTAACAATTGTAGCCTATTTATAATGTTATGTTGCGTGATAGAATGAAATTACACAGCCTAGATGCAAAGTTATAATTGACAGTTGACCCAAATCAAACAAAATAGTTACATTCAGTTCACAAAGTCTCTTTTTTTGACGTTTTGTCAATGAGACGACTGTTCGGTTTGGACCATGCACTAATCGATTCCTGTTTAGAAGCAAACAATTGTGAACTTTGAGATTCGCTGAGTCAAAGCACAACTGTTACTAATACTCCACTGATCTTAATAACTTTGATATTTTTTATTTCTTTTATTACAACATGGCACCACAGAGGAAACCCATGAATTCATTCCCTCTGAGCTTCAGCCTTGTCAGGATCCCAGGCACTTCCCCTTCAGAGCCGCACTCCGCTGTAGCGACACATCCATTTTGACACGAGCCTTGTCCTGATTGAATTTGGTCAGTGATTGTCCAGGTGCCGCTCACATTCAGCTGTATCAAAGTGACGAGGCGAGGGACAGGCCGAGACACGGGCGCGGCTCCTCCCAGGATTGTCCCGTTAAGTGGCCACAAATGATAACAGTAAATTGTGGTCTCCTGTTCAGTTAGAGTGAACAAGTGGTGGTCAGAAAAGTGCTGGACAAGATAAGAAAAGACCAGAGTGCACACAGAGGACACATACACTGTACAGGGGAAATAGTTTTGTTTTAAAAGACTGAAAACTATCAAACTCAATTTATTCTTGTATAGCCCTAAATCACAACAGTTGTTCTCTCGGAGGACTTAACAAAACCTTTGAATTCGCCGACACAGATCAGAGAATCAGCAGTTCAACGCAAAGAAATGCAATGATAAAATAAAATTTGTCAATAAAAGGCAAATGTTGAGTTGAAGTGTCCTGGATCATCACCGCTGAACTATGCATGATGTAATAGGGCTGTGTGGTTCTCAAAATGGGGGGCAAGAGACACTGGTAATAACTGGGTGTTGTCACGAGTTTGGTATAGATTAATACAGGCCGTGATAATGATCTCAGGATAAAATCAACAAAAACTTTTTACTGTATTTAACCAAATCTTTGACACAAAAATCAGGAATTTAAGGTAAAATGTGGCCAACATATTTTAGGGATGTTTTATTTTAATTTGTTCTTTTTGATATTTGATATTATGAATTGTCTCATATTGTTTAATGCTGACTGTAGCACTTTGTAAAGAATGTTTTTTTAAAGTTCTATCTATTTATCTATGATAAAGATGAAGTTTGACAACCGCAGAAGTTCCCGATATTAGCGTGGATGGATCTAAACACAACTTCTTGTTTGTCTCCTCTTACACAAATGTAGCCACATGTGTCAAATATTAGTTGTTTCATTGTAGATTGTAGTGGTACGCTCTTTCAGGTCCGTTTCTTTTGTCCTGTCAGAGTTAAGTTCCTTTGAAGTCAGAAATTAATTACTAAAAAATGTGCCCTGTCTGATGATAAATAAATTAGAATGTGACGATGCAGCCTTATATAATTTAAAGATCTATAATTATATATATTTGTATATATATACAAGCCTACTCACTAACATCATAACCACACTCTTCTCTGTCCATGATGCTTTTAACTTTGAATTTTAACTGTATTTGAACTGTTTTTAAAAATGCACTTTTTTACTTGTATGTCTCATACAGACTTGTTCTCTCACAAACGTCTTCTTCCTCTGGACACTCTCCTGTCTCCGTCCTGCAGCGGTCTCTGTTGCCATAAATATCTTATTTCTGAACAAAAGCTATTGATTGTGCGGTTGCTTGTTTTGGCTGCACGTTACGACCTCCACTTTAAACTTGTCAAACTCATTGCCCATGGATTAACTTGAGCAGTGTAATGTTAAAACAGTCACCACATACCACAGCCTTTATTGATTTAGTGCTAACAAATCACATTGCTGCCAGTGTGAGTTAGTCTAAACATACATAAAAACTGCCCATATGTAACTTTATATTCTCATTAAGCCCTCTAATAATGCTAATATTTAGTAAGTAAGTAATGTTTATTTATATACCGCCTTTCACAGACAAGGGTCACAAAGCGGTTTACAATTGTTATTATTTTATGGGGCACTTGTCTCTCACTCCACACAGAGATGGGAGCGGGGTCGCCGAACAGGAGGCGCATGCCAGACCTATTGTACATATTTTTAGTGGTAGGGGAAACCGGAGTACCCGGAGGATACTACACATACATACATAATATTTAGGATTCATATCTGGTTTATTTTTGTAGACACTCTGGTCTTGTTGTCCCACTATGGATTTGCTTAAGTTACTGTTGACGCATTGAAGAGAATGCTTACTTCCTGTGTGAACTTTTTCCCATTTTGCATGTTCTTTTAATGGATGCATAAGTCTTAAGTTTACCTACACCTTAGCAGAATTATTTTTCACACATTTTGCACATTTTTTAATATATAATCCAGGAACAACTTCTTGTGCCAAGTGGATCAATTCAATATATTACAATTAAATACTCCATTTTAAGTTTGAGGGCACAGACAACTTAGTGTTTGCACATCGGACTCTAATGATCTGATGTTATGAACAAAAGCTGAACATATTTCCTCCTAATAACATACTTTTATCAATAATACAAAGTGTTACAGACATTATTGTTCATCACATGTATGTACATCATTAATTTATTGACCTGAGCTGGCACAAAAATATTTGTAAACTTGATGCCTTCAACTTTGGGTGCTGCATGTATATAGACTCTAAATAGTGTGATTTTGCTTTTTAAACTGTGGTTTCATATGCGTTCAAATAAATTCTGTTGTTGCAAAGAAAATATAAATACTATCTAATCTATTGAATCCTAAAACGTGTTGTCCCAGCTGTTATTTGATAAGTAATTAATCAATACTGTATAGTACAGGGTTCTCCAACCTGTAGCTCGCCAACCCCTTCCAGGTACCTCGCCAAAGGATTTAGAAATGAACAAATCAAATAACAAACTTCAGATTTAATTATTCATTATCTTGATTTATTATTGTAAATGCATTTACTTTGTGCACTAATAACAATTATGTGATGATAAATAATGACTGTACCCAATATCAGGCTTGTTCACACCAATATATCACCACATTTTTTCCCAGGGTCGCTTAAAGGAGTAGCTCTCTGCCTTTATCATCCCGGGAAAGTAGCTCTCTGGGTGCAAAAGGTTGGAGACACCTGGTATAGTAATTATCATGATAGGCCTGTTCAAAACTCTGTCTTTGCGCATTGATGTATTTATAATCTATATTCACCCCACAACTATAAACAACTATTCTCTGTGAAGGACCTTTCCAAGAAGACGTCATAAGTCACTAGGACAGGTGTCATTCTGAGACAGGTTGAAACCGGGGCTTCTTCTCTTGTCCTGTTCTTGGCCATCAAACTATGCATACATATTTCATAGTTTCAATCCCACTTATCAAAGTCATGTGGCCTTGAAGGAGCACATCAAGTTTCCAGAAGCCGTTGTCTATGGTAATAACTGGTTCAAAATATTGTCAGTAGAATTCCCCATCGCCCCTGGCAACGTGTTTGACCGATCCGC